ATCATTTTTCAGAAACAAATCCCCAATGATTTTTTTTTTCTTTTCTTTTTTATCGTACTTAAAAAAAATAATTATAATTTTTTTGCCACTAATTAATTTGTTGCCACATAAAAAAAGGATTTTAAAACCAAACAATTGTTACTCTAGTGAATAAGTAGCTAGTCATGCTAGTTAATTAATTGATTGACAACCTACCAATTAATCCTTACACAAACTTGGATGCTATTTACTTTCTTTGATATATTAATTAGTGACATCTAACAATTCTACATTTTGCCCTGCTTGGATAAAAAGCAAGACATAATTGGCTCAATATTCACCGTGGAATATCTTTAATAGTTGGTAGCTAATTAAATCACCTTTCGGCAAATCCCTTCTCTAACATGAAGGTTTTTTTTTTTTTTCAAAGTGTAAGAAAATAAAGAATATTCGAACACCCTTTTTACGAGAGGAACACCAACATCTAATGCAATTGAAATTAACACAAGTAAATTTTTCATAATTGGATCTATTATTGTACGGGTAGTATTGTCAACTGTAAAAATGGCTTGCAATAGTTGGTTACTTAGATCATACAGTAGTATTGTTTGTTTGATTTACAAAGGAATTCTCATGAGATGTGTTCCTGTGTAGGCTTCCTTGGGAGTGAGTTTGATTTTTTTACGGAAAATTCTAACTCCTAAATGTCAATCAAACAACACATCACCAAACATGAACTTTGTACTCGTACTATTTTGTTTCAAATCATATGTTATTCTGAACTATAATGCGCATCATAGTCCTATATGGCTATATATATAGGATCTAATTTGTACTCGGACTATTACGTTAATCTTGTTAATTAAGACAAGGAGTTGGCAAAGATTTTACTGCATATGTATGATCTAATTTACATCAACCAACCTTGATTATTATAATTTATTTAAAAGTAAGAGCCGTAAGATTGCAAGAATCACTGCGACAAATCGACATAATAATGGTAAAAGTGAGTGATGGGGATTGACAGTTGACACAAGCAACAGATAATTGTCTCAAAAATGGTTGTCTTATAACATGATGAGAGAATTAATAATGAGAGTAATCATCGTTAACAAAGAAAGGTACACTAATAATACGAGTTTGTGTTAAAAGCTTTGCGCAGTTTTTTCTTTTTTCACTTTTCTTCTGTCTCCTCTTTTTTGCTATCATGTCAATTTTTTCATGCCAACGATGTCCACCATTTTTCCTTGCTTCGTAACAACAATTATTCATGAACTCCAAATATAATGGTGGCCACCTTTTGTAGGCTTAGAATGCTAGTAATTGGGCCGTGTGGTTTTTCTTTATTAGGACTTTATTTATCCTATACAACTGGCCCAAAGTGAGGATGACGAGGAGTGGGTCAAGATATTAATGAGATGGTTTCAAGCACCGAATTGGCCTCTCAAAGCTCTTTGGGAACCCCTAGAAGCATCTCGATGCCTAACCTTGTCAAGTCCGAATTTGTTCCCCGGATGCTAAGTTTGAAGGCATAATACATGAAATCAGATAATTTTTAGAGATTTTGAGACCTGGTATCAAAAGCTCAAGTGATGGTAGGGATGCATTTTGAGATCTTTTAATGTTGTTTCGAATTATATACGACCACTGTTTAATCACATAAAGACTTGTGGAGACCTTGATTGGATGAAGGGGTAAGTGTGTGTAACCGGCTAAAATGATAGTATAAAGACGGTGGATGTTTCCAAGCTCCTATATGACTTCCCAGGATCTCATGGGGTCCATGGAAAGCACCTTGTGCTCTTTCCTCACCGAACCTAATCTAATATATAATTTAAGAGTATGTTAATGAGGTTTCTCCAAAACCTCAATCCTCAATTCTCATGCACTCCCTTTATCTCTCTATGTATATTCAAATAAATTCCACTTCTACTATTTTTATTTATTTTTACTATTAACACATACTATCCATTTTACTCAATATTACCAAAAAATAAAACGCAAAAAATTACCTATTTAGATATATCATCCAATAATTTGCTTTTAGAAACCCCAAAATTACAACTTTACAAGTAATCTTTATTATTATTGCACATTTTTTCCTAACTTTTCCGCATTGCACATCAAAATCAATTCCAATCTTTAAATATGTGTACTTCATTTAAAAAAAATAAAAAAAAATAATATACAACCACCATAAGATCCACTATTTTCCTTTAAAAATAACAATTGTTTTTAACCACCTTTTTATTAATTCAATAATTATCAAAATCAAAATAACACATATTCTGTCTCGTTGGCCACACCGTTTGGCCGACTGACGCACACAAAACACTAATTAGGTAACCCTCGTCGGAGTAACCTTTGACCGAGTAACCCCTGCCCGACTGAGTAACCCTTGACTAGGTAACCCCTAGCTGACCGAATATCCCCTAACTGATTAACCCGTGATTAACTGAGTAACCCCTAACTAACCGAATAACCCCTGATAGAGTAACCTTTGACCAACTAAGTAACACCTAAACAAATAACCCGGCCACATATGAAACTTTGTGAAAACAAAAATTTTAACATCATGTTTTCTACCCATCCCAATAATTGCGTTTTTTTTTTTTTTTTTACAAGGAATTCCAATAATTACCAACATTCCACTTTGTGTTGTTTTCTTTCGCGTATAATATAATCCGTGCATTAGCACGAGTATGCTCATTGACTGATATTTCTAAAAAAACGTTCAATAACTACCTTATTATTAATTCAATAATCATCAACAAAAAAAAAAATTATAATATGTTTTCTGTGCGACAAGCCACAAGTGTGGCTGCTTGCAAAACAACAAAGTAACTCCAATAACATTGACGAAGTAACACTTATAATACTAACGGAGTTACCTCTATAACACTCAATGGATAACCTCTATAAAACTGATAAAATAACTACCATAATAGTTGGGCACACTGTGTGACCAACCATATATAAGAGTTAGTTACCAAATAAAATTTAACTTCCCGTATTTGAAATATAATTTTTGTTATTAGATTTTTTGTAATATCATTCTGTAAAATATATATCCCGTGCATTGCACGCACGGATACACTCTAGTTATTCAAAATTGAAAGCTATAATCCACATTTTTTTGATCAATTTATTTCTAAAATTGAAGGGAATATGAGAGGTGTCCTACAGGGTCATAAAAGTTGGTTTAGGGTCATAATAAGCCTACCAATATAATGATTATAAATTTCCGAGAATGTGTTTTGGTGTTTTTACGCATCAGGGTTGGAAGTTGAGGCTTGAGGAGTTGAGGGTATGGACACACAATGATCCTTTGAAGAAAATAGGACGTTGAAAGACTCTCATAACGTGTTTAACTTACTTTTGAAATTGGGCTATTAAACACTTTATCATTGGGTTACCTTCAATGCTTGGACCTTACCGTTATATTGGGATAACAGGCCCAATGTAGTGGCAGTGGCAAAAGGCCATGCAACAATTGCATTCCATGAATGTCAAGTGAACTTAATAAATCAATTGGCCTTATTAATACGAAGTATTTGTATATACTTCTTATTTTTACTAATACTAGGGTGGCTAACGCATAGCAAATCATGTTCGGGGAGCTTTTTCACTTTGGTCTTGTATTACAACTTAGTTGTCGGTAGCATATAAATTAATATTTTTAGGGGTATAAATATCCGTATACTATTCTTAAAAGTTTTATTTTTTTTTAAAAAAGCATTTAACATTAATAAGGGCAAATAATTAAATAAACAATTTAGAATATAAAAAGTTTTTTTTAAAAAAAAAAAACATTTAACATTAATGAGGACAAATAAGTAAATAAACAATTTAGAGGATATAATTGTCCTAACACTATTCATAAAAGTTTTCTCATACTTTTAATAAGACAGGGATAATCTTATTGGACAAAATTAGGGAATTTTTTTTATTGGAAGGAACTTATTAATCAAGGGTCAACTCTTGTAATTTAACTAAACAATATCATTCCCAAATACATGGCATCTCGGACTTTGTCAACTCATTCATAATTTTTTGAAAGAGAAAATGACCTAGTGTAGATAATTGATGTAATATAGTCTTATTTATTAACTTATTATATAACCTATGTACACTAGTTCTAATATTTGTTTTTGCTTCACTAAACATATCATCAAATATGTCACATGATACATCTTTTGTTGTCAATATCCACCCAAATACATTTGTTGTTACCTTGTTCTTTTTTTTTTTTTTTACAAAAATCTTGTTACCTTGTTCTTGTTCAAAGTCTTTCATTTTTTTAATAATGTTAGAAATTCTAGTGCTACAAGATACAACTTTATGAATTGTTTTATAAGCCTAAGAGGTCATAGTTGCATGTAAAATCATGATTTCAAAATTACCCTCTAACACACACCATAACATCAATGAATCTCTACCTTTAATCACCTAATTAATAATTTCACATCGTGATTGAAATTACCTCAGGTAAAATTTCCACCGCCCACAAAAAAACGACACCATAAAGAAAAGAAAAAATAAAAACTTTGCATTATTATTGCACTTACTTCACGAAAAGAGAGTGAAAAATATAATGGGGTCATCCCAAGAAAAGAAAATTCATATAAAAATAATTAAAAAAGGAAAGATTGTGATTGTTATAAACTCAGAATATTTGTGGATCTCTTCACATTTCTTCTTGGTATTCTTGCAACTTCACTGGGTAACAGGTAAAATATTTCAACCGTTCTCTTCTTTTTCTCTTTTGCACGTTTTATTTAACCGGGCATCTTTACTTTATTCAAACCTTACATTTGATCAAATTCTTTGCGTATACTTCTGGAATCATTTCCATCTTCTTTCCCAAGCTATCATCATCTCAATCTTTAATTTTTTATAATTAACCCCTTTAAATTGCCTTTTGTTCTATTTAATTTTTTTTATCAGGAAATTGATTTTCTGTGATTTTGTAAAGTTATTTCTGGGTTCTGAAAATAGGATAAAAGTGAGTTTGTTGAGAAATGGGGAGGCTGTTTGTGGTGAATTTGGAAGGGAAGATCTACAGTTGCAAGCACTGTAGGACCCATCTTGCTCTCAGTGAAGATATCGTTTCCAAGGTCTAATTCCTTCATTTTTTATTTTTTATTTTTTATATTTATATCCTATGATTTTTTATGTTGATTTTTGGAATTGGGTTATCTTAAATTTGCATGATCATACATGGGTTATTCATGATTTGGGTTGTGTTTATGTTGATGGTTGACTTAATAAGATTTATGTGTCAGGTTATTGCAGAATTAAATTAGACATTTACTGTACTAGATAATCTGGGTTACTTTTTATAGTTAAATGGTACAATTTGATACTACTGATTCTATTTATTTGCAGTTTTTGCTGTTACATATCTTTAATTGATTTATTTAGTCTTTTGAAGTTTTTGATCAATGACATATGTTACATTGCTAGTTCCCCTGTATTCTCCTTTTTATCTGTTGCAAATGAAGATTTACCCTTTTTGGAATCTGGAATGATTAACAGTGTTTTATTGAATGATAAAGTATATTGGTTTGTTAGAGTATAGCAATTGGGAAATGTTGGATTTTTGGTTTCTAGAAGTTGTTTAGGAGCTTTGTTGTACTCCTATATTTGTTATTTTGGAATAGTTGTGTTCTTGCTGTCCTGTGTGTAGATTGCTTCTGCTCGATATCATCATGGTGGGTATCTTTGGATGTTTCTAGGATTGGAATGGTTTGATACAATGAATGCTATTGAGAAATGTTATTTGAAGGGCTTAAACAAGCTGCAGTGTCTAATCATGTAAACAGTCTAGCTGTTGTACGGAGAGCGGCGTTATTAGACTAGCTTAGTTTTGAGTTTGTATGTTGGTTTGCAGCATGAGTCAATGAGTGTTGATCTAAGGATGTGAAGTGTTGTTAGAAAGAATGGGATATTTGTTGTTTGTTTGGCATCAGTGTAGGACTACATCATTGGATTTTGGTTAACCAAATCAGGGAACTATCTTGTGGTGATACAGGGTTATTTGATCAACTTGTAAGAAGTACTCACTAAATTCATGCGAAGAGGAAAAGTTTTTTCTATATGGAATATGACTATTGTGACACCATTTGGAATGGGTTTTTCTGCTAGCTATGTTTTGATAGCGAATGCTTGTGGTCTCTCCATGTAATTTTAGAATTTCCTCTAGCAGATACTTAGTATATTGTTCCGGACTTTATTAACAAAGTCATTGGTGCATGTGCACTACGAAGTCTAGACTTGTGATAGATGCTTTTGAAGAATGTCCATATCGTGGGATGAAAATGGGGTAGGAATCCAAGATGATGTTGAATTCTGAATTTCAGAGAGACGTGTGTCATAAAAATGTTTTTGTTCTTGGTTAAAAATCCCTGTTGTTGCCTTTCCACTCTATCCTGATTTTGAACTAGTTAAATTACTGTTTGTTTTTGCATTTGATGTTGGATGGGGAAATTTTGATTTAGTTCATTATCTGACTGCAGTTTTACATGTGTTGTTGATTCAGTCTTTTCACTGCAAGCATGGGAAAGCTTATCTCTTCAATAAGGTGTAAGTTTCCTGAACTATTTGAATTTGTTTCTTAATAGGAGCTCCAAACTGGATATTGAAAAATTACTATGGCTAATTTGACAATAAAGAAACAGATATGCCGTATGCTCTCTGATCTCTAAATCATAGACGAAATTATGACTCTACAATCTATTTATGGAGGTCTTCAGGCCTTGCTTCATTGTCTTCATATATATACAACTTGGAACATCCATTAAAATATGATATGCAAGATATGAAATGTACCTTATATTACAAATTGAAAGATGTAAAAATGGCTGATCATAGGACAATGAATCATCATGGACATATGTCTATGATAGTATTATGGGGATATGTCTCTTTTTATGCTTCCTAGAACACATCAGTATCACCTTAGCTTCTCAGAAAAATATCTCAAATACGTTTGACAGTGTTAATGTCACCCTTGGAGAGAAAGAAGATAGAGTGATGATGACTGGTATGCATTCCGTAGCTGATATTTTCTGTGTTGGATGTGGATCAATCGTGGGTTGGAAATATGTAAGCTTTGCAGGCTGAAATCCTATCAAACATAATTTCTCATGTATGATTGGGCAAATTGTTTGCCGTTAGTTACTGTTGTGGGATGTCTTCTTTCAGGAGACTGCCCATGAAAAGAGCCAGAAGTACAAAGAAGGAAAATCTGTCCTTGAGCGGTCAGTAAAGAAAATTAACCAGATCATTCCTATCGTTAATGACCTTGAAAAATTATGACTTGTGACGGGTCTCTTTGGTTGAACAGGTATAAGGTGTTTGGTCCTGATGGTAGCAACTATTGGGTCACTCATGAAGCACATATTGGTGGAAGTGACGCGGATGATGTTTGATGGCATGAAACAAAGATCATGGTTGATTGCCTCTTATTCTCCAATTGTACATAATTTAACCCCCAAAATCCTTTCAATTGAACTTGTGGATTCCCAAATTGTTTGCTTATCGACTCGGCTTTGCCACATTGACATAAATGGGAACCCTCCATTGTTTCTGAATTCCTGTATCATGTATTCTGTTCAAACTGTCTTTGTAAATTATCCTAAATGGTAAGCAATTTACTTTGTGTCAAACATTTTATGTCCTTGTTATTTTGTATTATGATTTCTTGTTATATAATTTGCACTTGTTTGATTTATTTTCTTCCTTAAGAAATATGGAAAGTGTAGTTTCAAATAAGTTCTTTGATATTCTCCCTTTAATTAAACCCTTACTCTTATTGTTCCTACTCAAAATGATACTCCAGACAGTCAAGGTTTGCAGACGTCATTGGAGATATCCTCTCTGTTTTTAGGTCATTTATTATTTCGGTGAGTAACTTTTAATGCCTCCAATGTTTGAATTAAAAGAAGATACATTGCATTTCAAACTTGGTAAACAAAAAAGACATGTGCTTTTTATGAAAAGGATCTTGCTAACGAGCACCCCGTAACGTTAATTCTTGATCTGTACACCTGGGTGTATCATGAGCATGGTACACTTGGTAAAAAAAAATATTATGGATTGTACATTGCAGTTAAGAATGAAGAACATGAATGATAAAAAGAACACAACACTCATTTGTAATGTACGCTCAAATTTCTCAAAGCATCTTTTTTGATAAAGGATAACTATCAAATATTTTTATCCCGGATTAAGTGCTATATAGTAACAAACTAATCACTTTACCAAAAATCATTTTCTAGATTATTTTTCTTTCTTTTAAAATTTTTTTCAAGATTTTCAAAATTTAAATATTCATTTTAATTTTCAAAATTTCAAGTTATAAAATATTTTATTTCATTTTAAATATTTTTAAAAAAAAAAACCCTAAAAAATCGTTCATATTTTTTCACCCATTTAATTATGACATTCGTTTTAATGATGGTCATGTGTATTTCTTATCATGTCCTTTATATAATTAATATGTTCTTTATCAGAAAACATAATGTACTTTGTATTTGTTTGTCATATAATATACTACGAAGTATCAATTATTAACTTCTTTATGAATGTTCATTATTATATCATCTAATGATCTTTATCAGATTTTTTGATAAATTTTTTTAAATATCTATGTTCTTCGATTATAATTGTAATGTACTTTTATTGTCAAATAGTGTTTATTGTTTATTATGAAATGTTCTTTGAATTTTGTCTTTGAGTCAAGCTGGATAATTTCACATAATGTTCATTGCATAATATTATCATGTTCTTTATTAATTAATTAATATTATGGATGTTCTTGATCCGAAAATACATCATCTATAGTGGAGGTCCAAAAGAATATCATCATCATCCATCAACCTTCATGATCCTGATATCAACCAAAAAAAATACACAATTAGTAAATGGTAATTCATATTAAAAAATATAGTATTAATAAATGATATTTAAAATTAATTTTATAATAATAACAAATGACAGTAACAAATAATTTAAATATGACATTTGATAGAATAGAAATTGTGTGTCACTCGCTCAATGCCTCAAAAAAATAAAAAAAATAAGGGGGCTAGTCAAATTCAAAGAACATAAGGGATAAATTCAAAGAACACCGGCGTTAAAACACATACATTCATACAAGATTAAGAAAAAGAATAAAAACGTAGAACATAAAAGATCAAACAAGGAACATAAAGGATAAAACATAAATACCCAAATGAATATATAAGTATTAAAACAAGCGGACATGAACATATCTTAAAGAACATAGTTTGTAAGGTAGTGAACATATAATTACGACCCAAAGAACATATTGATCATACTTAAAGAACATATTCTATTGCAATAAAAAAAAAAAAAAATTGAGTATGGATCAAAGAAATGATTAAAGAACATTTATCACAATCCAAAGAACATCGTCTTCAACCTTTGACACATTGTTCACAAATTCAATATACAAATTCATTTTTTTTTTGAATGGATCAACAAATGTCAAAATTGAAAATAAACAATGAATTTGACGATAATAATGCAAAATATTCTAACTAAAATATAAAATAACATAATTAATGATGAAAATTATTAAATATGAAATTTCATCCAAATTACCTTCTCCTTTGTTTAACATATCCTCAAATTAACCTTTACTCTCAATCACACCATTCGCATAACCATCGACATAACAACGATCAGAAACATGATGAAATTCTGAATGCACAACCATTATTCAATTTCTCTCTCCAAAATTCTATTTCTCTATCTAAAATTTCTAATTGTTTCTCTAAAAAACGTTCAATTTATTGCAATATGGAGGATTATAAATTTGGATATGATAAATATGGCAAATACCAGCAAACTCCTTAAATTAAGGAGCGTATATTTCACGTAACTAATTTTGTGCTGCTATTTTCATCCGGGTGTACCAAGCTCATGGTACACCCTGGTGTACTATGTAAATTTCACCAGGACGTTAGATAACTAATGAATATATTGCTAAAAATAGTATTAAGTTGGGAATGCATGACAAAATTACGCGTCGTTCGGTGTAATTAATGTTAGTTTTATTCTAATATTTTCACTTTTAGTTCTCTTATCTAATTCCTCGGGGGCGCTTGTTAGCTTTTGCCTTTTGAAATTATTGACAATATTTTTCTTGAAATAGGGTCTAAGGACATGTTTAGTTCACTACACAGTAATAGTTTGCAATCATCCAAACCCTAACTTCTTGGTAATAGGATGAAATCCTAAATCAGTAACATAATATTAAAACAAACACCCAGAATGACACGTGTCATTTCTTGGTTCTGTTTTTTTCCCTCCAAAACTTATTTTTCCTTTTTTTGCAAACATCAATTACTTACTATAAAATATGTATAAATACTCACCAAATTATATAATTGTGATTCACTTTCCAAAAAATATAAATTCTCCAAATCATACAATTGTGATTCACTTCCTAAAAAAAATATTCACAAATTTTTTTTTATTGTATAAAATATTATTATATATCTTTTACTTTGTATAAGTATTATACGGAATACATATTATTTCATTTATTTAAATATGATGAAAGGGAAAAAATAAAATTATTTATTAAAATGAGAATGTAGAAATTATTTTCGTAAAGAAAACTATGAATAATATTTTTATCAGTAATTATTGACAAAATTTTACTAATAATTAATCAATATTAGATGTTTTGGTCAAAATATATTAATTTACATAAAATACTTTAGGAAAAAACTATCAAAATCACAAGAGACATACAATGCAATTAATTGTGACTAGATACATGGCCAGTGAGTGATTTACACACAACCTTCAATCTAATGACGCAAATATAAACCGCAATTATTATTCCTGCCCATAGTGCTTAATATACACTTTTAAAATGCTTAATTATATATTTAGTTAATAAGACGAAAAAACGATACCATATTATTTTTACAACACTCACTCTTTCATTATAGTTCATGTTTCATTTCATTGTATACCTTTATAAGAAGAAAAAGTATGTATTATGGTTATACTTTGTCTACAAATTTTTTATAAAATATTTTTATTTTTATTTATTTACAAATATAATGTAGAATATAGAATAATACTATAATAGTGAAATTACCGTGCATGACACGGATCCTAGTCTAGTTTCTTTCTATTTTTTTTTGTCGCAATTATTATAGTGTAGTTTTCTTATATACCTATAAACGCTCACATACCTTTCTATAGTAATTGTCACATGCGTTGTGGCCATTGTGGGAGCATTTGATAGCTATCGTTATAAAGATCCACTTTACTTTGGTCCCAAAAGATTTACCAAGTAGATACGGAGTAGCTTCTAAAAATTTAAGATATAAATCTTATAATTGCTGGATTTGCTACCCTTTTTTTTTTGGTTATCCACCCATTTTACCCTTTGGACTAATCTAGATTTGAAAATAATTCAGGATGGTTAGGTTCCAGTCCTCTTCTAATTGTTGTTACGGGAAATCGAACACGTTGTCCTCCCTACCAACAATCAATTGGTGCTGGATTTGCTACTTTAATTGTACTGTATTAGTAACAACATGATAGGAGACCCTTAAAAAAATAATAAAAAAAAGATACATAATTAGAAAAGAAATCAATTCATTTCCCACAAGTCACTAGATGTTTTTTTTTTTGTTTTTTTTTTTTTTGGAAAGAAAGATGTTTTTTCTTTTAATAAAAAACTTACTTTTCATGTTTAGCTTACACTCGTTAATTGAGTCTCATAAATACAACACTTTGTTAAATTAGGGTGGTGCACTTTCGGAATGATTTTTAGCTATGTACTCTGTAAGAATTAGTAAGAAAATTAAAAGAGTTTCCAATATGTTTTAATTGTACAATTCTTTATTGTTAAAATCTCTAAATCACTCCAAAATGCTTGCTTAGAATTTCCTAATCCTTACCCATAAAATTCTTATGAGTTTAGAAAGTACATAAAATATTCTCAAAATAGTAGTCATATCTTAATCGATATTAACCTATCATCTCTCATTGTATTGTGACAGCATATCTTTGCATTATTAAATTGATGGCCTACTCTATATCTATTGCTATCATACACCTCTTTATGGAGCATTTCCTAATGTGTCTAGTTCACAAGTTTAAGTGAACAAAAATATAAACACTTGGCAAGTTGCTTACTTAAAATTAAGGACATTACTCTAAACCAAACATTTTGAATATGTTTGAGATTAGTTGACTTACAAGGCTATATAGTTGGGCGAATCATTTGCTTTCATATGCAATTTTTTAACCTAGTCTAATTAGCAATATTTAATTAATTTAAAATGGCTATCATCTCAAGTGGATTTGGTAGTTGAGCTATGTAACGTGGGCAATCCATTTAGTAGTTGTTGACAAGCCCTATAAATGTGATGTGATAAGAATTATACTCATAATATGTCCATTATTAGTCCATTAGCACATCACTTTGTTGGTAAAGCACTTTTGACAAGGAATGGCACATAAATTTTCAAGATAGATTGACCATTTAATATTTATTGTTCATGGTCATGTATATGTTAAGTTAGTCTATAATCTATTTCTAGCAGTTTCATTATCGAGTATTCAAAAGAGAGTAGAGTTATTAAGAATTTTAAGTTCTTCTAACCTAATTATATGTTTACCTTTCCTGTGAAATGGATTGCGTTGTATGTAAATAGTAAATAGAGAAAATATATGATTAAAATTTGAAGCCTAGAAACACTCCGGTTTTGCAAATGGATTTTAGAGCATAGTTTTACTATGTGATTGATGCATTCTAAAATTCATTAATTGTGTCGAATTAATATGTGTTCAGGGCATATTAGAATCGAACAAAGAAGACTAGCCACACTTTAAAATAAAACATAAGCTAGAAACACAGAAAGATCGATAAAAGAAGATACAATCATATGATTCGTATCCAAAACAAAAGTACATACGGGAACAGAACAACAGAATTCTCTTAACCACAAAAGTATATGATCTTGAAACTAGAAACATTATAAAATCAGGAAAGTACAACTTGAAAAAGGTTTGTCCAAACTTCTGTAATGTCTCGCAAATTTTCCTGCGCCTTCCACAAAAATTCATTTTTAAGTAGAATATAATCTCAAATGCATTACAGGGATTGTAATGCTGTAACTGCAGGTGGAAATCGTTCATCCGAGTGTTACCAATGTATCCCACTGCCCTGATAGAAGGGCGCAATGCTCTTACAAAGGACAGTTAACCTTCAGGCTTCAGAAGTAATTTGTGTACTAGGTGACCAATTGACCGCGGTGATAATTACCACATAACACAGAATGATGTAGAGATGAAAGTAATCTTTGTTCTGATGAGCTAAAAACTTGAGTGACCAGGTGAATAACCAGCTTGTTTGTGTTTACTCCTATTCGGCTTCTGTGGTAGAGGTTGTGATTGGTAGTGCTTGTCTGCAGAAATCCTTGCATTATGACCACGCGAACTTAGAGATGAAGGTCCATTCACATTCACTTTACCCTTTGCTTTCCCTGCAGAACATGCATTTGGTTCAGTGTAAAACTCTGGATGTATGAGATAAAAATTCTACAGAGTATAGTTAAAAAGTATACTAGCTCTTTACTTAAAAAATATAGGTGTGGAGATGAATTAGCAGTGCAGTGTAAACCATATTGGCATGAGTGACAGTAAACATACAAAACCAAACAATCTTAGCTGCACATAGTGCTGACCTGGATCTTTGGTCGTTCTGACACTAGTTTTTCTCAGAAATGGAACCTTCTTATCTGGGACTTTCTTTTCCGAGCTCTCAGTACATGCCGGTCTTGTTTCACTGTAAGTTTCAAAGGAATGTGATGTATTGCAACTTTTCAAGGGATTTGTTAAACATCGCCCACAAATTACTACATAAAGCCCACAAAATTCACTTGGTTTCCCAAAATTGCCCTTGACCTTAAAAAAAAAAACACTCACACTCTCATCACTCACACTCTCATTGCTCATCTTCTTTCAACCTCTCTAAAAAAAAAAAAATTCAAAATAACGGCAATGTCGAGGCGGCAAGGCAAGGAAGTGGCGGCGGCGGCGGAGGGAAGGATGTCCCAAGGAGGAAAGGTATATTTTGTTTAAAAAAAAAAAAAAAAGGGGAAAACCGCCGTGAACGCGGTGGGGCGCCCTGGCTGGACGCCCAGCCAGCGGTGGTGGCGCCAGATGCAGACGCCGCCACCAGTTGGCTGGCGCCTGGGCTGGACGCCACCGCCACGGTTGTGGCGTTTATTCTAGGCGCCGCAGCCGTGGCTGTGGCGTCCAGCCCAGGCGCCAGCCAACTGGTGGCGGCGTCTGCATCTGACGCCACCACCGCCGGCTGGGCGTCCAGCCAAGGCGCCCCCCCCAATTTTTTATTTTTTTATTTTATTTTTAATTTTTTTAAAAAATTGTTTTTAATTTTTTTTTTTTTTTGTAATATAATTTTGAATTGTTTTTATATTTTGTTGTTTATTTTTATAAATTTTTTCAATTTCGTTGTATTTTTTCTACGTTTATATTTTGTTTACAATTATTTGTATGTTTTTAGTTTATTTGATTTGCGATGATGATTATTTATCGTATAAATTTTTGTATGTTTATATATTTTAAAATTTTGTGTAGGGTCGTCATGGTGGGGGGAAGAATATAGAGCTTCTTAGTAGAAGTTATTCAGTGGAGAGGTCGGGGCATAGACATGTCAGATCCCGTGGTATTTCGGCCTCAGTTCGTAGAGAACGGATCCACCGTCGGGATGAGGATGACGATGACGATGATGATGCTGAGGAGGGTGACCAGGAGGAGGAGCAGGAGGAGGGCGCAGATGAGGATGAGGATGTGGACGATGGCAGTGGACCGTATGATGATTACGGTCCATTCAGTCAGAGGGTTGATGACATGTACGAGACGCATATGGTGGAGGTGCGTAAGGGTAGGGGTGGTAGGTTTGTTAGTAGATCTGGCACATCATCTGCGTCCACTGTATCTGGGGCAAGCAGGAAACGGTCGAGGGCGGGTAATGATTCTTGGGTTGTTAGGAGTGAGGTGCCCGGTGGGCCTGTTGACGGGAGTGTGATTCCTAGCTTTCTAGGACACATAGCTGCCCGTATTTGGGAGGACCAGGAGAGGCCTTCAGTTACGGGGTTGTTGAAATGTCATACTCGGGAAAAGACTTGTAGCTTTTTGCGTACATGGGCTGAGGTCTGGCCGGCGGAGAGCGAGATGTTCGAGCGACTGGAGGGCACTGGGGTGAAGCACGTTCCTGCCACCACGCTGATCACGGCTTTCATTGAGCGATGGCAGCCGGATACAAACTCTTTTCACCTTCCGTTCGGTGAGATGACGATCATGTTACATGACGTCGAGGCCATTCTGGGGATTCGTGTTGAGGGTAAACGACTTTGTGCTGTGGCTGATGCGGATCAGGCAGATTCGCTGGCGGAGTTGTTGGCGGTGGACAGGGCTTCACTGTACACCGAGGCGCTAGGTGTTTGGGAACACGGAGGTGTGAAGATCGCATCCGTGTTGCAGCGGTGTTTGTACCCGAGTGCACGTAGGACGCCCGACGCACAGCTGAGTGCTTATGTTTTTCTACTCCTCGGATGTACCTTGTTTCCGGATAAGAGCGGCGGAAACAAGCTCAGGCCACGCGACATCGTAGAGGCGTGTGACCCCGACAGTGTAGGCTAGTTTTCCTGGGGATCGGCTACGTTGGCGTATTTGTATCGCCAACTAGGATTTGCGAGTCGGGCTGACGCGGCAGGTATCACTGGGTGTCTGACTCTATTGCAGACTTGGATATACGAGTACTTTCCTGCATTGCGACCACATCGTGACCCAGTTCCTATTGATGAGGGGATGCCGCGTGCTTGTGCGTGGAGTCCGCGCTCGGAGAAGAAGTCCGTTGACCGCCTCCGATCGATACGGTTATTGCTGGACAGGCTGTCCCCCTTAGAGGTAACGTTTATTTATAGAGTCTACATTTTATTATTTGCACATATTATATTCATGTTATTAAATTTTATATGTTGTAATTGTACAGGTGAACTGGATGCCTTTCGGCCCGAACCCTAGTGTTAGGGTACCCAGGACCCTGTACACGGGACTCATTCAGTATCGTGACATCGTCGAGGCGTACATGCCCCAGCGTTGTCTTCGCCAGCTTGGATTTGTCCAAGTTGTCCCTCCTCCCCCGGCGTGCCCGATGAAGGCGGTCCGACCTGCATCGTCGAGGGAGTACGTCGTGGAATGGCCGGATATCATGACCGGGACGTGGGACCAGTTTCCGATGGTGGCCCGCTTATGGACAGCGGAGTTGCAGCGGCCGCCCTCTGGGGTTACTCCCATGTGTGACCATTACTACATGGAATGGTTCAACCGGTATTCACACCCGAGGTTGATCGCTGATCTCGACCACAGCGATGATGATTATGTGCCACCGCCTACTGCCACGGAAGCGGTATGTCTTTTATTATATTTATCGTTGTAGTTTAATTAAGTTTTATTTGTTGTTATTGTATTTCATCTTCTGTTTTTTGTTGTATGCAGTGGATGGGAAAGATAATGCAAGACGTTCAGAAACTCTCTCTTGAGAAGGACAGCATGAGTGCAACAGGGAGAGCTGTTGTTGATAGTCTGGAACAGACCCTTGCGCAGTGGGAGTCGTCGTCGAGGAGGGATTACTGATGGTTATTGTATTTTATTTATAGAGCATTATGTTGGACATTATGTTGTAAAATTGTAACATTTTAGATTGTTCTTTTAGCTTCCAACTTAAACATATTATCAGTGCTGTTTTTAAATTTTGATATAACCGTTCGTGGATCCGCGCAACTTACCCATGCAACATATAGAATGCAGTAAGCAATACAATATAAAATATTAATGTTCTCATTAAAAGAGCAACGTACAAATAAGATTACAAATAAAGAATGTAAACAAGAAAAACTAAAATGTTGTACCACCGAGGTATAATCGGTGGCACCGGAAAATCGGTTGACATGTCTAGTCGGATGAAATGTCTGTATGACGACCCAAGAAACGCAATAGCTAACTCTCTGACCGGTGTGGTGACAGTCTCACGCGACCGCCAAGGGAGAACCGTGGTACAAGGATAATAAGCTTGACTATGCACTCCCAGGCCGAAATGCATGACTGCGCATTTGTAAATGTTTGCAACGGCAAACAGATCTAGGGGCGCGTCAAAATAATGATTTTCGCCGCAAGGTCCACCTCCCCACCGGATACGCCGGAGAGCGCCATCCAAGTCATCCTGGTACACATGACGATAAACATTTCGGTTAGAGGCAATTTCGCTGTACATCAACTCACGCACCAAACCGTAGTTGTCTTCGCCCATTTGAAAAACATCAGCCACGACCCGGAATCCGCAGTTACCATCTCCGATTACATCATTCCACCCTTCCAAGTACGACATGATGATCGCAGGTATCCTTTCCTTGTACGGAAACTGATCAACATCGTTTCTTCCTATTCACCAAATAATTAATTATAGACAGTTAAGAAGACATGAGTAACACTTTAAAACTATGTGCAATAAAAACAACCAAAACGTACCAGTTCTCAGGGGCATATTCACAGACGATGAAGATTGACTACGACTAGATGACGATGTCCGACCACGAGAACAACCACGACCAAGACCACGGATATACTCAAACGCACTCCTGTTCCGCCGTTGTCGACCTCGAGGACGGTCAACTCCTTCGGGTTCCTCATAATCTAAGTTAGACGGGTGGAACATGTCATGAAGCACATGCGTAGCGTCACGAATAATAGAAGGATGGCTGGAGGACACTTGGTCGTACATCGAACGGAACTGCTCCAACTCTTCCTGTTCACGGTCGGCCGTTTGATTGTCTGCATGCTCACCAATAACAAGCGTCCTCCAGAATGAATGGACCTGATCAACATGTAACGACGCCCTTTCTTCTGTAATAACGCGATGAATGGTGCATGCGCAAGGTAATCCATGAGTTACTGAAATAGTACACCCACACCGAGTATACACTTCGTCAGCCAAGTCCCTCACCCTGTTCAGCTCAGTGAGAATCAACCCCAAGCAGTAGTGCGACACACGACCATGGAGAATCTTAAATATAAAATGGCTATACATCGTACCATGTCGTCGTCTGGAGTCCTCTAGAGAGTTCCTGATGTCGTTCTTCTGAGTTTCAATTGACTTGTTCAGTCTAGCGAACAGTGTATCCAAAGCAGCGGTCGATGAATCAATCCAGTCCTTGGTAGCTCTATGAGCGCTCTCAACTCTACATGTTGTAATGTTCCCAAAATGAAGTACCTGGTTTGTCCAATATTTGACAAACTTTTCCCTGTGAGGGACCCATTGATGCATCACATAGTCCACCAGTGCCGGACACCACTGGTACGAATCCCTGAAGTTAGCCAATGCTCGCTCATACGCTTCCTCTGTGGTAGCCTGTAGGATCTTCCGCCACTTACCATTCACCAATCTCTCTGCCATTTCCAAATTCTTCTTGAAAAGGTTGTAGGCTTTCACTTTCACGCAGTTGTTGATGTGCCATGTGCACAATAAGTGGTTCGATTCGGGAAACAGCTCTGCTATGGGGGCAAAGAGACCTCCCTCACAGTCGCTGACGATGGCTGCTGGATGAACATTAGGCCCGATGTAGTTTCTCAGCTTCTCCAAAACCCAATAATAACTTGGAGCCGTCTCATCCCTGATGATTGCATGACCAATCAGAAAGTTCTGGTTCGTTGGAGCCATCCCAACCATCTCAACCAGAGGGAACTTGTACTTGTTTGTCTTGTACGTTGAGTCGATCAAAATCACAAATGGCCAAGACTTGATCATATCAGCACAATCAGGATGCACAAGGAAAAGATGAGTCACCTCCGCTGTATCTTCATCAGAATCAAACCAGAACAGGTAACCACGTGATTGTGCCTGGTGTAGCAGCTGCTGTATAGGGTTCCTTCCCTCTGACCGTTCAAACCTGAGTTGCTGTCTGACGTTGTAGATGTGTCTTCGGTTTGGATGGTCTTCTGGAAATTTCTCTAACACAGATGCTAATATTTTAGCAGGCTTCACTTGAGCATCACTCATTTCTTTCACAACTAGTTTCGCAGCAGGACTTAAGCCGCTCAGTTGTCGATGACCCTCTTCATATACTATCATCTCATGGTTGTGATACCCCCATTTAGAGTAACCTATCACTTCCCAACCGTCACGACTCCGTAGTTGTCGAACCTTTACTCTGAACTCACACCCACAACCTTTCCGCTTTGTGTCAAACCGAGTGGCTGTACGAAAATCTCTTTCTTCTCTTTTGCGATAACGGTCACATCTCAAAATGCGATCCATTCTACCATCCCGTTGAGATTTATGAGTTGCTACTACCAAGCAAAATCCAGCTGCAATTGCAACCTGTTTTGCCCAATCAATCGCCTGTTGAGCTTCTTCGAATGGACCATCATGTCCAAATATCTCACTGTAATCATTTCCGTCTCCACCATATTCCTGCATCAATTATATATTACAATAAATACATTTAACGGATAATACATTTAATTTCTATATTTCCACATAATTAACACAAAAAAAAAACATAATTATATATAATCAAACTTAATTTTTATAAAAACTCAATTCGAATTTTCAAACTAAATTTAAAAATATACCATTTCGAATTTTCAAATTTAATTTTAAAAAAACCTATTTCGAATTTTCAAATTTAATTTACAAAAAACCCATTTCGAATTTTTTTAAAAAATCATTTTCGATTTTTTTTTTTCACAAAAAAATTAAATAAAAAACAACAACAAAATCAAAAAGGAAAAAATAAAAATTAATTATTAAAGGTGGCGTCTGCCAGGGCTGCCACAGCCACTGGACTGGCGCCTGGCAGGGCCGCCTCACCCAGTGGAGTGGCGTCTGCCCAGGACGCCAGTCTGGTGGTCTGGGCGTCTGGGCTGGACGCCACTCTGGTGGTCTGGGCGTCTAGCCTGGACGCCACTCTGGTGGTTCTGGCGTCCGGCTTGGACGTCCAGGCTACGGTTTGGGCGTCCACCCTAGGCGCCGGAGCCACTTCGACGGTAAACCGTGAATTTTAACGGTGACTTACCTCGTTTTCCGTCGACGACGACGTACCTCCAGCGACCCCCGCATCTCCGGCCTGCCATCCGGTCTCCCCCGGCGAGCCAGTACGGCTCCACATTTTTTACACCGAGATTATTTCAATTTTAGCAAAAGGGCATAATGGTCAAATCATAACATATTTGTGGGCTTTATATGGTAAATTGCGGGCGATGTTTAGCGTTTCACCTTTTCAAAGGAGAAGGCCGTTTCTTTGCAGGAATATTTGTGCAGACTGACCTTGCATGTTGTGCAACTAAAGATGAGCGACCTGCTGCTAAGCTGTTTGCTTTCCTTAAACGTGAAACTTTCAAATCCGGGGTTTCCACAGACACGGACCTTTTATCATGTGTTTTCAAGAACTGGTCGTCTGTGGTTATGCCATTGACCCTCCTTAGAACTGAGAGTCTCTTCTCAGGAATCTCTAAGCACAATGACTGCGTGTCGTGGGCTGGTGATAATGAGTCTTCTAATACATTGTCAATCTCATCCATAGGAGATCCAATAACCACCTCACTATGTGAATCCCAGCTCTTGTCTCTACTGATCCCATTGAGCTTCTCTTTCTCTGCTATTCTGTAAGAAAACAACTGAAATGGAATCAGTGAAACAGGAGTTACTGCAGCACTAGCCTCGGATGGGAACTTCTTCATGAACCCGGCTTCTATATCACAAAAATCTACTTGAACTATTGATGGAATCTCAGGTTCTGCTAGATGAGGGTTCATCACAATCAACTTCTTGACATAACGTAGTATCCTACAAATTGATAAGAAACCTGGTCTCAGATTTGGATCTGTTTGCCAGCACCTTCTGGTCAAATTTGCAAGATACTTAGGCAAAGCAAATGGGAATAAAGGCCGTTCTCCTGCCTTTATATTTCTACTCATCTTATCTCCTTGAAGGTGGCCATCTTCGAAAGGAACTTTCCCTGTCAAAAGCTCAAAACAAAGCATCCCAAAGCTATAAACATCGGCTTTCTCAGAGTACTTGTATTTGCCACTACTCCCTGGCCTTTCTTGTTCAGTCAGTACCTCAGGGGCATGCCAAATAAAAGTAAAAACTTCATTTTGGTTTGGTGGGGGGACTCTAGCAGGCACAGTTTTAACATCCTTCAAACCAACACCAGAGATTTTTGCATGAAAGTAACCATCCGAAGATGAATTTCTAGGCTTGATAACAACATTTGAAGGGTTCAGATCTCCATGATAAATCTTCTTAGAGTGTAGGTATTCCATGCCTCTCGCAATCTGAAGCATGATATCAACTGCAGCTGGGAAAGAAAAAGGCATCCGCCTTTTTGAACTAGAAACCTCTTTTATATGGCTTTTAAGATCCTTGCTCATCACCTCCATCACAAGGAAATACTCCTTTTTTTCCTCGTCGTGGAATCCACAAAGATACTGGACTACATTGGGGTGGGAAAGAGAGAGCAGAAAAGAAATCTCTGAATTTATTTTGGAAGGCTCCCCAAAAAAGTGTCTCAGAATAAAACTCTCCCCTAACCAATGTATCTCTTTAATCTGCATTCCTACACATATGCGCCTTCTCACATGATAATCCTTTGCTCCAGTTAAAATAGAGCTATGAAAGAGCGATTGTTCCCCATTCATCTTCTTCATAAGCAAGTCACTGAGCCGTTGATCTTGTTTACTCATAGTGAAAGAAGGTGAAACCTTCTTCTCCTTAATCATTTCGAGCAAAAGCCACTGATCCTCTTTCCAAACATTACACATCCTGTGCAAAATATCTTGGGAAATTAGATATTGTTTCCCATATTTCCAAAGGAAAAGTTTTGGATCATTCCATGTCATATCATACTTATTAGACAACATGATCCTCTTCTTCTTCATCTCATCTAAGTCGAGCCCTGATATTTCCCCTGCTGTTTCAATCGCCTCAACAACAATTGCAAAGTAGCAAAGCAAGTTATGCGCATGAAATTCAACAGCATCTCGATTGTTATGAAAGTGCAGGGCCTTAACCCACCAATCCTTAGAACAATCCATGCATTGTTTCACATACGATTCTGCTTCTTTAAATACTCTATAAAGCTCCTTTAAAGGTTGATGTAACGCTTTCCATTTCGTGTTCTTCTCTTCTAATCTAAGGTTCAGCTTAATCTCTTCTGATAATGTTTCAAAGGCTAAATTAAACATGTCAAACAACAAACTGCACTGGCTTCTGTTTATCTGAACATCGTCTTCCAATATCATTAAGGCCTTCATGCTTCCTAAAACTTCCCCTATTTGCCTGAATAGCTCCATGTTTATGTTTTCTCCAATGAAATCAAAACTTAACAAAAATACGAAAAGTGTCTCTTTTGTGATCAAATTTTCTGGGTGGTTATTTCAGATTTTGTATTATGTTATGTAACAAGAATAGAAATCTATGCTACGTCCCTACGATCACACCAGCCTATCTCATCCTTTCCGATTACAAGATAAAAGACATCATTATACGAGGAAAACCAATACACCTTGGTATGATTGTTGTGGCAGAGATCCGCCATGAAGTCCGCCGCCTAATTAGCAATTAGTCAGGGTCATTTCAAACAAATGTACCCTGTAACAAAATTGTATGGATGATCATAAGAAAATGTGCATTGTAATACCTATTGATCAATGTATAATGCAAATGTAAATGCAAAAAGATGAGTATAGAACAATATGTGATTATCATATAATATGAAAAGGAACAAAATTATAATAAATACCTGTTGATCAATGTGTATGTAACGCTGAAGATTTTTGTAAAACGAAATTGAGCGTTATTTAAATTAATTATTAGTTGATTGTTTTGTCAGACTTTCATCAAGAAAAAGAATTACTAATAGAAGAAATTAAGATACAAATAAAATTAGAATCAGACTTAAATGAAAATTAGTTGCCAAATCACAGGTAGGGAAGAGAGAGATTATTTGAATCTAGAAATTTTGAAATGAACGACAGCAAAATTTTTTAAATTTTTATATTCGAGGATTAGAGGGAAATATATTTGTATGTGTTAAAATAGACTTTTTATGACTGCTTGTTTTCCAAATTCTGAAATCACACAGTTGGTAAAATATCAATACTTCGAGCACTCCCGGCAGTGAGGAAAAAAGCCCTCACGAGTAAAAATAAAGGTGTAAAAAAAATACCCGAGCATTACGTTAGTGAGGGAAAAAACCCTCACCGTTGAGAGCTATGGAAAACGCACAAGAGTTGAGGGGAAATACTCGTGAACAGTAACCGGTGGGCCCCACATGTACACGCTGCTTTCCCTTTTTTTTTTCCTTTCTGGCTTGCAAAACGACGTCGTTTTGCCTTAAAGAAGGGCGAAACGACGCCGTTTTGAGGGGCAAAAGGGAAAAAAAAAATAAGGGGGCAGCTGGCCTGACGCGCGTCAGACCCAGCCAATGGGGATGCGACACGCGTCAGGCTTTGTCCTTCCAACCAATCAGATTTTTTTGCTTTTATTACAACGGTTATATTTTTGTAAGGTAAATATAACCGTTGTAATTATTAAAAAAAAAAAAAAAAAAACAAAATTCACCAACGGATAGATTTTTTTTTTTCTCTATAAATAGACATGCATTTTGATATACTTTCAAAAAACCCATAAATACTACAAATTTCCTTCTTTTCCCAATTTCTTTGAGTTATTTTCATCATTTTTATTATTATTATTATTCGTAAAAAAAAAAACCCTCAGTTATTATTTAGTATTATTATTATTATTTTTATTATTATTATAATTATTATTATTATTAGTAGTAGTAGTAGTAGTGTTAATTTAAAAAAATTAGTAGTTTTATTGGTATTCTTATAATTATTATTATTATTATTATTAATTTCTTTATTATTATTTCTGTTAAATTTATTAATCCTTGAAAAAAATCGTATTATTATATTGTCAAAAAAAAGTAGTAGTATTATTATTGTTGTTGTTGTTATTATTATTATTATTATTATTATTATTATTATTTTTATTATTATTATTATTATTATTATTATTATTATTATTATTATTATTATTATTATCATTATTATTATTATTATTATTATTATTATTTTGCTAATGGATCCTAACAACCCAGATTTTAAATTATACATTTTTATTAAATTATTTTTAAACGTAATTAAAAAATAAATTATTTTCACATATTTTAATTGTATTGGAAAATTAAATATGTAGTATAAACATTATTTCAAAATAAAGATAAAATAAAAAGATGATGTGTATTATGGTGGGGTATAGTAAATAGTGGAGGAAAAAGTGATGAGAGGTTTTTTTTTCTCCTCATTGATGTAGTGAAAAAAACATTTGATGAGAGAAATTGTATGGGAGGAGTGAGAAAGTGGGTAGAGAGAGATTGAGAGGTTTTTTTTTCCTCACTGCTGATAGTGGTCTTCGTACGAGTACCATTTTTTTAACAGAACATATTTTGTATGAAGTATTTCGGTTATTATTACTTTCGTAGTTTATTTACAAGATAAAATTGAATATAAATAGAAACGTACAATGTTTCATTAAAGAGGGGCATTTGTAACTTAACTTTGTTATTAGTGTTACAATTACTTTGACCATTACGTGATATTGCACCTCTCTAAATACTACAGTATGTTGTATAAATGTTATTGCAGTACTCCATATATTTTATGTTAACCAACCTTTTATACATTCACCGGTTGTACAATTAAATCTGTCAGATTTGATCCATTATAAATTTGCAATAAATTAAAAATAAAACATCAATTTATTGCTATGTATATCAAGTCTTGTGAGATACAACGATGAAGAGAGATAATTATCAACGAGCTTGACAAGGGAGAGAAGATTGACGGGATTGGTGATTGGATCTAGTAGAACATTAGAGAGGGGGCGGCGTGTTGTATGGTATATGAAACTTGAAAAGGTGACATCAACACCGCAATGCTATGCACAAGGCTCGGGTTAAACCATTGGTCTATGTGTGACAAGAGCAAGTCTTTGGTCGACTGGTCTAGCCTGTCGCATAACCCATTAATCCAGCAGAGCAGTTACAGATACTGCTGCTACTCTGAAATCGGAATCAATCCTGAACAGTGGCAGAACGTAAGTAATACGGGTGCCACCAGCGCGGTAGTGAGCCAGTAACACAATCACACAGGTTTTGATCAACTACATTAACACTTGATAATATACCCAAATTGAAATAAAGTTTCTTACGACTAGTTGGGTGATTACCGATAAAATCAAACAACTCCCAAGTAACAATACAACAACCAAGTATTGATCTTGCTTAAGTAAAGAACTCCAAATAAGACATACCCCATGGAGAAAGAACAGGATAAGAAAGCAAATGGAAACTCGATCCATCCAAAAGAGCGACCCTTTATATGTAGCCACTCCATAAAAATGTTCCAACATAAGTATAGCATTAATAAAAGCATTGTCATCATAGCGCGCACACACAGCAATGGAAGCAGGAACTCCCTGCTTTAAGCCATATAAAAGATTAATGAAACTAACCAAGCGAATAAACCATTCTTTCTGAGAGATGTGGCCCAACGACCTTCATGTATCTCAACAATTGGTTTTTCAGTTGTAATTGACCAGCTGGGCGAAGAGCATGTTGAAATTCCTTCAATCGGTGAGAAAAGGAAGTCAAACAAAGAAAAATGAACAGACACAATGTCAACTAAACATTCAAATTGAAACCAATCTAAAAAGAAGTCACTGCTTCTAGAGTAGAATGATATTCAATAGAAGAAAAAAAATCTGCTAACCAAAGACTTTTAGATAGAAGCGTGCAATTCTATAAAATAATTTATATACCTGGTATCTAAGGCGAGTTCCACCCAAATCAAAAAGAATGCGACTAAAATCAACATTCTCAGTTGGAGTTGAGGCAAGATCATTGGTTTCAAATGATTGTTCATCTTCTGATGAACCAGAATCAAGCATGTTCTCCTCTTCACCCATATAAGCGTCATTCAAATCTTCATCACCGGGGTCATCATGCTGCTGATCCAAACGCTTTCCTGGTTCTTGGGTCAACATTGGGTCCCTGTTTTGCATGTTGGTATAATCTGACAATACAGCATACCTTGATCTGTCAAGCAATGGTTTTGCAACATCATATGGAACCCACCTACAAAAAAAAATCAGGTACTGTTAGGGAAATAAATTATCAAATACTTTGTAATACTATAACCAAAATCTTCAAAGCAAGAAAACAGACATAGCTATGCAGGTTTAAATGTCCAATTTTCAACAGAAAAGAATATTTGCTCTTAATGCTTAAGCTTATCACCCAACCTGAATCCTCTCCCCCCATTACCCCCACCCCCCAAAAAGAGAGAGAGAGAGAGAGAGAGAGAGAGAAGCTCAACCTACTTTTCATTGTAATACCAGTATACCACTAAGACCTCAAATACATGGAAAAAGAAGACCTGAAAGTATGACACAGGCACCAAGGAAGCACTATGCAACTGATTAATCTATTACGGGGGGGAAAAAAAAAGAGTAATACAACAACTCCATGTCCTAGAGGATTTATGCATGAAACACCACGCCAGTTATCATTTTCAGATAAAAACTTACTCGTAACGAAGAGGGCATAAAAGTTCTGATGGCCAATAAGCTGCTTTATATCTCATTTTGCTGCAGGAGTGAATGTAATAACCAAGATAATAGTATTGAAGACTAGGACATGGCCGTTGGTTTTCTTTTACACAATTTATCTCTTGCAAGGCAGAGTATTTACCAAGTGATAAAAAAGCAAAATCGGGATCCCAAAATAGATATTTGCTCGACAAGCTCTTAGGAAGGATATCGATCACCCCAACAGCAATGAGCCGCCCATCAATCCGATATTGCTGATGGAATGCGCCAAATCCACAAGAAGGAACAGTATCATCACCGGTTGGAGGAACATAAATCAAGGGTGAATCAACCAGAAACCTTCGATAAGACTGCTGATTGATATCACCAGGTTCATCATTGTGAACTTGTATCTGATATTTTCTATACAAGGCAAACTCTTCTGGATCAAAACTCGACCTATTTAAATGGATTTCCAGTTTCCGCTTCATTCTCTGAGGGTTTTCAGGTAGAATGCCATGTCCTTTACTTTCTTGCATCGGAGATTCTCTGGAGATTGCGACTTGATGAGACTCTTTATCAGAACGGACCTCCTTTACTGCAGAGTAGAAGTTTAAGTGTCCATTGCAGGCTTTTATTGATAAATTAGGTACTTCTACAAGATGCTGCAAAGCATTTGCCAACTCTTCTGAAATATCTTTGGGGAATATATCATAGGAAGACCCTATTACAGCCAAACTGTCTTTCTTTGTCCCGATATCATTGGCATCTGACTTCGTCCGTCTCAATGTAGCTGCTAGCTGAAATGAAATACTGCTTGTATATAAGAGATCTTCTGATCCGTCAACTAACCGTCTCTTTTTGGTCTGGGAAACTTTTTTTACAATACCTTTTGGATATTGAATATCACAAGGTAAATCCTTACTTTTAACAAATGATTGGATGGCAACATCTATTTGCTTGGATAGATGATCCAATAGCTCCTCATCCTTGGTATTCTGCTCATGTCTTCCTAGAGATTCCATTTGTGATGTGCTGGACAATGTATCCCCATGAGCATGTACTTGTGACTCCCCAGATTTATCTGCAAGTTCTTGTTTTTTACCATCCCATATTCCGTCAAGGTACCTACCCATTTATTCATATATATCAGCAGAGCAAGGGGAAAAAAAGTATAGAAGTTGAAGACTATTATCATCAGGCCAGGGAAAGGAAAAAGTTGGGTGCTTCTGTAAGGCACATCCACCAACTCGTGCAAAAGGAAATCACATATGGGAAAGGTACATAAGCTAAGGGATAAAAGATGCCAGAAGGCCCAGAAGTAAGCAGTTGTTAATTTCATATTAATTGTTTCAGATTAGATAGTCTCTAGCTACATGGGTGTTATTCCATTATTGATGCTGTGCATAGATTCCAAAATTCCTTGTGCTAAACATTTCCAATATTTGTTAAGAAATGAGAAGTTTTGAAGATAAACATACACATAATTAAAATTTATTTTGTTAGCTATGAAGAAAACAATTAAGGCTGTATTCAAATATACTCCATGATAAATTGAAGTATGAGAAAGTCTCCAATTGTACCTTTGCATTCGCTTAGACACCCGAATTTGCTCTTTAGAAGGCGAAAATTTATCAGCTTTCAGTCTTATGGTATATGCAGGGCAGCATGTTGTTTCCATCTCAGGTTTGTACAGAAAACAGCCGGATCTTCTCCAACCTCGGTCCAGAAGATCTGAGGAAGATGCATCAAAGAAACCAATGTAATTACAAAACAATCCAAAAGCACTAGCAACTAAGAGTAGATGCTTAATGCTTTTGCAGAGCAATTTAGCAGGTCAATTAAAATCCACAAGAAAATTTCCCCAAGTTTTGCAACGAAGCACATTCACACTTGAGCCACACGAAGCTCTCATCAATCTATTTGGCCAATGAATACTAATGTCAGATCCACAACTTGACACCATTCAAATGAATCAAATCATTATAGATCTTAGCTACAGACGGATGGATTGATTATCACAGGTAAGTGGGGTCTTTCCCTGTTCAATTTCTGTTACAAGAAAGACACAGAAAATATATGCACTTGGGATACAGCAGGAGATTGGTTCAGAGTTTCCATTAAATAAATCAAGCACTAACTTAACCATGTCAAAACATCATTACACCTCAATGATGCAAGAATGAAATTACCATAAACATAAAGGAGATAATCAATCCCTTATACTAGCACAAATCTCAGCCACATGGTTGTATTAACTAAGACAAGATACAATTATAATTATGACAAGATACCAACCTTGATAATCATAAACTGTAAGGCTGTTTGCCCATAAACCTGCAAAAAAAAAAAAAAAAAATGAACTATTGAGTGTATAAAGAATCAACACAGATGTTACAAACATGATCATCTAAACTATAAAAAAAAAAAAAAAAAAAATAATAATAATAAAAAAAATAAAAAAAAATCCATCCTTTCTACTCGTAGTTATCAGATTATCGAATCCATATCATTCTTATAATTCAAGGCAACTACCAATTTCCTACATGTTTGTAAGATATTTTAATTTCAACAGCATTTGTAAGATGACTAAAACTATCACTCCCACTGATACATAAGTGATTCGTGTTTCTTCGAGTTTCAAACATCGAGGACGAATAATGCTCCAAGTCTACAACACTTAGATACATTGCCTTTTCTACAATCTAATTTCTCAATGTGAATGAACAAATCTTACATTTACACACAAAATTAATGCATATCATCTATTAAAAACATAAAATCACGCAAAATCGTAAATTTTTCCACAAAATAAGAAGAAATCATCACCAGTCATCACATCTCCATAGTCCAAATTTACAAAGTAAACGTCATTAAAATGCCATGAATTTTCACAAATCAATTATAACATAATCATCAGATTAAAAAAAAATGATCAAGCAAATAATTCAGCTTAATTTCAAAAAGTTAATCAGAAATTAGAGATAAACCATGAGTGACACTGGAGCGACGACCGGATTTACAGTAACCGCAGGTGGAGCGACGCCTTCCGACGTCAGCAACGACGCTATCGCCGCCACTGCTGCTGCTACTCGCTCCACTTCTCCTCATTCCTAAAACTCAAAATTCAGAATTACAGCTTCGAAATTGGTTTACAAAAATAAAATTTTCAGAATTTGAAGATCAGAATTTCTACTTGATTTGATTTGATTACTTTGGTTGTCTGAAAAATTCAATTGATTAAACCCTCAGCTGAGTTTTCTGATTTCTTTTGGCCTTGGAATCGAAATTGAGATATTCTGACTTTATTGTATTGCTTTTTTAATTATATGAGAGGAGAAATATAGAAATGAAAGTCTTATTAAATAGAGGTTGTAATTTAAAAAGAATTGCTCAACTGGTCAAGCGGGCCGAAAAGAAAACGAGTTTTGAAGAAGGAAGGAGAATTATTGATGAGATAAAGACCGCGTTTGATAAACAACTTATTTGAGCAAAATTAGCTTATTTGACCAACATTAGCTTATTGATTACTCCTTCGCCCCTTTTTATAGTTTCCGTTGGGACTGCGCACATTTGTCAATGCAACATTTTGACCATAAATATCGTTAATTGCTTATTAGCAAAAAAATCTAACAATTAAATATTAAAAATCTATTCATCGAAATGAATCAAATAAGACCAACATGACTACGTTATGTCTTATATATTAAGAGTAATTTAGAATATTCTCTCACATTATAAATAGTGTCAAAATTCCAAATGGGAACTATAAAAAGAGGCAGAGGGAGTATTAAATAATCTAATTTAAGATGTTTGGTGGGAAACTTATTTAAAGAGCTTATTCCACTAAATAAGCTCTTTTTTAAAAAGCTCCTTTTAAGAGCATTTTCAATTAGCTTATTCATTAATTTATGGTGAAATGATACTAATATCCCCATTTAACTTAAAATCCTACCTAAACTACTTACCCCACAATTAATTTATTGGTCATTTCACATACTCAAACAACTTTAAGCTATCACTTATTTACCAAACACTGTTATACAATCAGCTAATAAAATAAGTTAGTCAAATAAGTTAAGATAATCAGCCAATCAAAATCAGATTCAGCTTTTAGCTTTAAGCTATTCACCAAACACGGCCAAAATGCTCCTGTCATTTAACTCGGTGTGAGACGGGATCCAATTTTACACGCGGGGTGTTGGGTGCAATGTGCAACTCTCGCATAGCCCTGTAATCACACTAAACTTGTCTTGGAATTATTATTATTGTTTGTTTTTCCTTTTTTTTTGATGTTTAGAGAGCCATAAGGGCGAGAGAAGAGATGAGATAAGATCCCACAATCTCTTGAAATCGAGAGGGAAGCTCTAACAACTTGAGCTATCCTTCACTCTCACATGTTTTGGATTTTTAACTACATGTTTTGATTCAAGATGACATTTGCAAATATTGCACATTTTTCTGATTTTTACTTTGAGGATAGTTGTGACTTTCAAAGTGGTATGAGAGATACTTTTTATATAAACTCGATCTACAACAAATTAGGATAATTTTGAACCAATATTGAGATGATCTAAGCTATATTATTAAATAGTGTCGAATGTTTCATTATAGTGACTTAGAGTCTTAGAGTACTTCATTTGTTTTTTAATCACAACTTTTAACTTTTACGCTTGTCAATGAACATTATATATCATCAATAACTTTAATCAAACTTAAGTAAGAAATTATAAAAAGATAATATTTTGAAAGTATAAATTAAAACGAGTCTAATAAGACCCACATGAATGTGTTTTTCCTAACGTATAAATCACAAAGGACAAATAAAGGAGTGTCTGCAATTGTTTTCAAGTAAATTTCTACATAAATAGATTACATTCTTCTGTAAGTCATATTGAATTTCACTCGTTACTTTTATAAGAAATCTTCCATAAGTATAGTGTCTTGCCTTTTTCTTCCATCTGCTTCTTTGCCTCAAGCAATAGAGATTCCATCTAGCTAGCCACATGTTTTCCCACAAGATCATTTAATATTGGCTCGGCCATATAATTTATTTCTAAATTAAAATTTTCAACCTTTTTGTCTAAAGTAAATGTCGCTTGTTTTTCAAGATGTAGTTTGATCGAATGACTTGGTTTAAGCTAAATGTGACATTAGATTAAGATTTGCTATATAAATATTTGGTAAACATACAACTCATTTCAAAAGGTCTAATCTGGTGCATATACTCCTTTCTGCTCATTTTTAGGGACGAAGATGAAAAGATAAAAGAAGACATGTACTCAAACACAAAAATACATTATCGTTCCGGTTGTATTACTCATCCATGCAAGCACCCTAATAAGCATATACTCTTGTATTATACAATTTGAAACAACTAATATTTATTTACTTGTATATATTTTTTAGTATGTGTATTCCTGCATGAATTCGGTCTCTTGACAAAGTTTTAGTAGTTGTATATATGACATATCAAGTTATCCCTCAAACAATCTGCTAATATAAAGAACAAAAAATCTTGAACTTTGACCTTTTCAACTAAAAGGTCAACAATAACCTTGTTAATAATTGTACATATACGTGTATGGACTAAAATTATAGTTTGTTTACTTTTTGTTATAAAAAATAACAATATAAAATCATAAGACATTAAGTTATCCCAAAATCTTGTATCGTAATATAGAATGCACTAGCTATTAATTGTAATTCTTAATTTTGAACGAATGCATTAGTAAAAGCTATCATCTAAATCCTATTTAACTCAACTAATCAAATGCCACCCACGATTATCATATCATCGAGTGTTGCTACCCTTACATAGACATTAGACCTATATTCATTTGTGCTAGGATTTTTGAGAAGTATTTTATTTAGGTAAAATGTTCTTAAATACTACTGTGTCCTAGGTTATAAAATAAAATTTCATAACACTTTGTATCAACTTACAATAACTATTTACTAATATTTAATTATATGTATTAAAGGTCATATTATTTCATATATAATTGTATCACATTTAATTGATAAAACTCCATATTAGTATTTCTAAAACAAAGGGAGCACAAGTGTCAGTTTGGGTATTTAGATTGGGTTCGATTAGATCGAGTCAGGTTAGATCTATTTTAAAGTTAAGTCATGATAAATTATTGTGTACATACTTATCAAAATCTGAATCGAGTTTTCTCAGATTAGATCAAGTCAGTTTTTAATAACGAGTACTACTCGTATAACACAACATTTAAAAAGTTTCCAAATGAACAAAGTACACCGTATGAAGTTTTGAACACAAAAGCATTAATGACAATTGGCAAAGAGTAAGACCAACCCCACCACACCACCCATGAAGTAACAAGTACTCAAAAACTGTTCAAGGACTAAAAAGAGAATCCAACAAAAGACACATACAACACAAACCTGGGAGTTGGCCCCATCTTCCCATTAATTAATCATTAGCATCTGAATCTAATGCTCATATTATAATAATTAGGATCTTGTTAACTAGTTCTCGTTGAATAAGCATTAAAAATATTTTTTAAAGTGAAATTAATTTGGAAATAAATATCAAAATCATGTGTTGATCAGTGTAATTTATGTTTATTTTAATCTAATTTTTCCACTTTTAGCTATCTTATCCAATGCCCCCAAAACGTTAGTTAATTATGCCTTATAATTATAATCATTTTTATATTTTGGTTTACATGTCGTTTTATCCTAATCTCTTCTTACCAAAAATTCAGTCTTTTTCTCTCTCTTCTTTCCTTAAATTGAAATCCAAACAATACTTTCCTACCCCCCATTCTCCCCTCTTATTTTTCTATTCCCCCTTTTACCCATCACTTTCATCTCTATTTACATCCTTGCCACTCTTTCTCTCTCCTCTTTCTTCTTCAAATATTTATTTCTCTCTCCTCTTTCTCTCTCTCTTAATGTTAGCTCATTCAGACTCCAAACAGTTCTTCTGTTCAAAGCATTCAAATTCAAATAACTTGATCTTCAAACTATATGTATTTTCCAGAAACTTCTTGTATTTATTCTAGTGATTCAGTTTTAATTTATTGTTCATCTCAAGTTTCTGCTAAAACGCTCAATTCATCAGTTATTCAGCTGATTGAACTGCGACATTTTCAGCGTTTTGGCTTTGTTGCAGATCTCTGAGTTTGATTAGCAGTTTGTGGAAATCTGAGGTTGTGATTTTGCAGTTTGATTGGTGTAATTTCTGGTAAGATTGATGAGAAATTAGGGATTATATATTTGTTGTCGTTGAGCTTCGTAATTTGTGCTAGGGTTTTTGAGAAGTTGAATATTTGCGATGAATCGGAGTTTTAGAGGTCCTGAAACGCTAATGCCGTCGATTAGACCTAGGGTTCCGCAGCTGAAGAGTCACCATTCTTCGACTACGATGAGAGAGAAAGAAGACGACCTCGCATTGTTTCTTGAAATGCGAAAACGTGAGAAGGAGAAAAACGATCTTATGCTACTTCAAGATTCTGGTGAATTGGATGAATCTTTAGGTATACTTTCAATTTTTGTAATTTATTTTTTGAAGTTTTATTTGGTCTTGTTTGATAGTGTTTGTTGACTTCAGTAGTAGCTATTGTGATTGTTTCTGTTTTTAATTGGTTGATTTGATGATGTTGTGGAGCTATTGGTTTCGGCGATTTCGGTATTGATTGTTTGTTATGATTGTTGATGGATTTTGTAGTGTCGCAACCGGGAAGTTCACCGTTGTTCAATATTCCGTCTGCCACGGCGGTGAGGAAGACGGGCCCTGATGAGTTTTTAAATTCGGATGGTGATAAGAATGATTATGACTGGTAAATCTAGCATCCTTCATTGAAAGATTTGATTTTTAGGTTGTTGATGTATAGTATACATGTAGACAATGTAGTATGATATGGTTTGCATCTTACTTTGAATATGTTAATGGTTTAAGATTGCATTTTGCTTAATTTGGAGATATGTTAAGTTGATGTGTTACCTATCATTACTTGTTATTCGAGTGCTCTTATCAGTTGCTGCTTCCACTTCAAGCAAAATCCAACAATAATTATGGGTGCCTTTTCAGAAGAAAATGGAAAGTGTATTTTCCATTTTCCAAGCTAACACCTTAATACACGTGATCTTGACCATATTATCTCAAGATTGGGTATTTGAGTTAGATTATATTAAACCATAAGTTTGGAAATTGAATTTATGATGAGATGAAAATTTTAAGACAGGCCACATACTTCAGTGTAACTGATAAGGATATACTGAGTAGAAAGTTTGAGGGCAGTACAATATAGTGACAGATGATATTTGAATGTGTAAGAACTATCCGTCCATTATGCCTAATGATGGATAATGATGTATCAACCATACCATGTTTCTCACCATCCTACCTCTTGTACCGAATATTGGCATCCTTGTCTACAAATTTTCATGGAAGATACATTATACATAGCAAGAAGTAATAGCTTCTGGCTTCATGTTTCTGAGGAACTTATTGTTCTGGACATTTTGGAGAGATGAGGCTGTTAGGAAATTTTTCTGAACAAACTAAAGGCCTAGAGATTCACAACTTTATGTCAGATTGTAATGGAAAAACGTTTGTGGAGGGAATGTTTACCGAAGAAGGACTTGTACAACAAAGTATATAGGATGATTGTTGTAATCCATCTGCTACCCCCTGAAAATATAGATATTGATATTAAGAAGATTATTGATATCATCAGCTTCCTCTATTCAATATAAGATCAAATGGATATTAAGAAGATTATTTTAAGAAAAATTTACTCTTGCTTCCAACATTGGTAGAGTGTATAGATATAGTTAAGAATATTATCAAAAAGAGTTTGCAATCCAAAGCAGTTTAATGATACCATAAATGAAATAAAGATACTTCGGGTGCATTCTCTTCATTTAATTTCACCTATCAGAACTTATATTTTTGAACTTATTTTAGTTGTACATGGAACTTTGGTAACCCTTATATTCCTAAATTTAACTTTTTTTAACTTATTTTTCCTAAACTTAACTTATTAACTAAACATAACTTAATTTTTCCTAAATTTGACTTATACTGAAACATGCTGAGGAATTTAGCCTTATCCAGGAAGTTTCCAATTTAGAACACAGGATTGCTATTTTTAGCTATTATTTTTGTGTTAATATTCTGTGGTTGCCTAAGGGGCTAAGGTAGCTGAAGCTTCAGCCTGTAACCAGCTGTCTACCTCGACTTCTGTACATCTGGAGGCATCCTGTTGTAATATTAGTTAGTTTGTTTTTCACTTGCATTGAGTGGTGGGATGTCTGATGTTGGTACTAGTAATGATGTTTTAATGGACCATAATAGGCTTGTTTTAATTGCTGGTATCTTGTTCTAGTGCCTTTGAAGTAAAATGGATTAGAATTCGAGAGGTTTTTAGACTTTATAGCTAGTTTTGTTTTAGCATAATTGGAGCAGCTTAGTGCAGACTAGTAAATTTTTGGCTATGAGATTTATAGGATTGGTTTAGTTAAGGTGAAAAAATTGCATTTCATTTTTTGGGATTTTGTCTCTTTTTTCCTACTTCAAGGGCTTCTTACGAGCATTCACTTTCCCATTTCAGGCTTCTGACCCCTCCTGGTACACCTCTCTTCCCTTCACTGGAGATGGAGTCAAGAAAGGCCTACATGGATGACGCAGAAGCTCCAAAAGCTCAACCTACCGCACTGAGATCAAGAGTAAGAATACAGATGTCCAACACTGGATTATATAAACATAATTGACAACTGAATAATCACAAGTAGTTTACTTCTTATATGAAAGAGAAAAATGCATATATCACATGAAATTCTACGAGTCAAAGGGAGAGGCTGGGGTGATTGGGTATTTTCATTGAAGTCAAGATAAGTAAGCTGGAATCTCTTCTCTGTGAGGGAAATTAATATCTTATGAAGCCCTTTTCATTGCTTAAAGTAATAAAGTATAGTGTGTCCTTACTTGACATTTAGAATTTATTTATGTAGTAATATGGCACAAATGGGTGGAAGAAGCCTTTTCTGCACCTAAAAGAGCTTGAATGAGCTGCATGTATCTTTGTGTATATATCAGATCCCTGCAGGACACCTGTCCAAAAATATGAGTACAGATAGGCCATTATGGGTACCTAAGTACCTAATCTTTTTTATGGAAGGCTTTCTAGTTTTCCGATTATAACCATAATTGATGCTTGTCCTAAATATTTGTACGACGTTTTGTTGAGATCTGATAGTCCATAGTCTGTAATTAAGTTTAGCATTACAACTGTATTAATTTATCGCCAACCTTTTACCATCATGGTGATCATCTTATTCTTTGATGTTACTTGATAAGTTTCCAAAAAGGACAGAGAATGACTATCATGGGGAATTGGAGGGAAGTGGGCAGTGATATTTCTTAATCTTATTAACATACATTATGTGATCCTATTTTTTCTAAGTTCATCTATTTCAACTTTGAATGTAGTTGGGAAACTCCCAGACAGAGACTACAGGGAGGAGCAGCTTGATGCCAAGGCAGCCAAATGCATCCTCTGGGTTGACATCTTCAGCTTCAGGAATTCGGAGGCCTTCCTCATCAGGGGGCCCAGGGTCAAGGCCACCTTCATCAGGGGGTCCAGGGTCTAGGCCCCCCTCATCAGGTGGTCTAGGTTCAAGACCAGTGACACCAGGGGGTGGATCTAGACCTGCGACGCCAACTGGCCGGCCTACAGTGACGTCTTCTAAACCTTCAAGATCATCTACACCAACTTCTCGGGGCACACTTTCTTCTTCTAAGCCCTCACTACACTCCTCTTCCCCCAAGCCCTCTGTTTCATTGACATCAGCTCGATCCACAGCTTCTGTGACATCCACTAAGTCTGCAGGTCCATCAAGATCCTCGACCCCAACAAGATCCACAAGGACTTCAGCTCCATCAGCTGGGCCATCAAGATCTTCCACTCCTACTAGGCCCACCGCTAGATCTTCAACTCCAACGAGGCCTACTGCCAGATCTTCAACCCCAACGGCTCGACCTGCAGTTCCTACATCCCGACCTACATCCAGGGCATCAACTCCAACTCGCCGTACGTCGTCGTCAAGTGTTGCCAGTGTTACCGCATCTCTTAACAAGTCATCTTCTTCGATTAGTAGTAAGTCGGTGGGTTCAGCACCATCTAGGAATACTGTGCCTTCGCGTGGTACATCTCCAACTGTTAGATCTCGGCCATGGAATCCATCTGAGATGCCTGGTTTTTCATTAGATGCTCCGCCAAATCTGAGGACCACTCTCCCTGATAGACCCCTTTCAGCTGCTCGGGGTAGACCTGCAGCCCCCGCTGCACGTTCTGCTTCTATGGAGCCTGCCAGTAATGGAAGGGTAGGCAGACGTCAGTCTTGTTCACCTTCTAGAGGGCGGGCCCCTAATGGTGGCATACACTCTAGTGGAAGTTCTGTCCCTGCGGTGAATCGAGGACATTCCAAAGTAAATGAAGATGTGAGTCCCGTAGTTATTGGGACAAAGATGGTTGAGAGGGTGATTAACATGAGAAAGTTGGCACCACCAAGGCAGGATGACAAACATTCTCCTGGCTTATCTGGAAAGTCGGGTTCATCACCTGATAGCTCTGGCTTTGGACGGTCACTTTCTAAGAAGTCCTTGGATATGGCTATACGGCATATGGTGAGTTCATCTATTTTCCTGTCATCATTTGTAGTAAGTAATATATGTTTCTTTTGCGTAATCATTTAACACATCCTCTAAAATTCTTTCATGACCTCATCATCTCAGCTTCTTTGATTGTGAATGTGTAGGGTTTATCATGTAAAGCACTGTTTTACCTTATGTTGATCTTCAAAGGCTAATTCTGATGAAAAACTTAGTTGCCTCTATTAAATTACAAAGTTATCAACCACTTTGCAATATGAATCTCGCCATTTGTACAGGGCTTGGAGTTCCAGACATGCTAAGCCTAATGCTTAGCTGTCAAACTTGTGGAGAGACTGATTAAAAGACCTTTTTTTTTTCTTTTTAATTATGCGGCCAAGAAAATAAATGTTTATTTTTCAGAAAACTATTTGTCAACATGATGTATAGCTTTATCCTCACCTAGTCGCACTACTTATTAGAAAATGTTTTGTCGAGGGTCCTATGAGTGTATCTACTATCTAGGCAATTATTGTAGGTGTATTAGAAACACGGCTGTTTATATTTGGACCTCTTCATGATTTGTATAGTTTATCAATTTTGTTAGATTAGAAGCAGGCTGCTTACATTTGACCTCTTCAGACCCTGCATATATATATAGACTGGTTATCATTATCTATTTTTGACTACATATTCTAATTATATTTTGTAATGTGCATTTTGCTGGTACGTACAATTGCTTCATGATTTTTTTTTTCTCGTGTAGGATATAAGGCGAACTATCCCTGGTAACTTGCGGCCATTGATGACAAAAATTCCAGCTTCTTCTATGTACAGTGTGAGATCAGGGCCTACGGGAAGCAGGACTGCTAGTGTTTCTGATTCACCCCTTGCCACAAGCAGCAATGCCAGTTCCGAGCTCAGTGTTAATAACCATGCTGGACATGGTAGCGAATTGGAAGAAGACCTTATCAGCGATCGGGGTGGTCATGCTTCACCTACCATACATGATAGGTGACATTCTGACAATGTGTTCCCAAAAATCTTCAAATGCATTTCTTTGTCTGGCGGTTTTGGATTTCATCAGCAAATCTAGGGGAATTCAGAAACAAAGTGGTTACTTAACGGATTTGCAGGCTGTTGTGATGTATGTGTGTAAAGTTATCAAGCATCTGCAAAATTTAATTTTATAATTTAACGGCCCTTGTACTATTATAACTTATTAGCTGAATTATCCTTGTAGCTGACTTTTCGGATATCTTGTCATCTACTGATATATTGGTATGCTAACAATGAAGATCATTGATTCACCACAACAGTTGCTGTAGATTGTGTAAGCTTGAAGACTGAGACTTGTATGACCAAATGCACCTACCACGACACTGCAAGCGGCTCCAAAGGCAAGAAGGGAAATGTTAAAAAGGGGTTGAGTTTTCTTAGCGATTACCCTTTTTTTTATTGGAGAGAGTACATAGTAGAACAAAACATTTTTCTTGTAGTGGTTTGCTTCATTGTTCTGTTAAACTAAAACGAAAAATGCACACGTGTCTTAAAAAGTTTGCCTCATGGGTTCGGATGAATTCATAAACTTGTGCTTAAAAGTTTCCTTGTGGGTTCTGCCTCTATTAAATTTTGTAAGAGGATTCAAGCTGAGATTTTGCAAAGTTGATAATTGACACCAAGTGCATTAGAGAAGTTATATCGAGTGATTCAAGATATCATTCAGGAGGGTGAGATAGAGATATATAGCTACTCTCTCCGTTTCATATTGTTATTCCTACTTAAAATCTTTTTGTGAGACAAAATTGGTCAAAATAGGAAAAATGAGTATTTCAAGTAAACTTCAAACATATCAAAAGGCTAAATGTATAATTTTTTTTGTTTTTATTTTTTAATTTTATTTTATTTTTTTTCAAAGATTATATTAGTACCCTGAGTCATCCAAGAAGATAAATAATGGAGGTTGAGATTATAAGCTAATAGAATTTGAATAATGTAGCTTTGGTCTACAGATTTCAAACATATCAAAACACCTAACAATAAATACGTCTTATATTCTACCTCATAATTTACTTGTCAAGAGTTTCTAATGGGTCAAGCCTAGAATTATGCGGCATCAATATACACAGTCTATGACGCTATATCAACATTGTAAGGGCTCAACCATCATATCCTCATATATAGTACAAAGACATTGAACACAAATCAGTCATCATGCAGCGACTACAGCTTCTGGGGCAGTTTCAACAGCTGCAGTCTTGGGGGGCTCAGCACTAGAAGTGGTGCCATTGGTCTTAGCATCTGCAGGTGGTGAAGCAAGTTTTAAATGTGCAGGAGTAGTGTGTTTCAGCTTCACAAGTATCTGCCTCATCCTTGCAAGGTCAGTTGGCTTCCCAGGCTTTGGTCCTTGGATCACAGCAATAGAAGGCTTCTTTTCCTGCTCTTTCTTTCCTCTTTTCTGTATAGCAGGAACTTCATTAGGAATGAGCTCTGCTATTGCCTTCCAGTAATTCTTGTCAGCCTCCTTGTGGAACTTCTCATGATTAGCCAGAAATAACTGCAAAATAAACACAGCATTTCAGGACACAAGTCACTATAAATTGGTATTAAAATGAAAAATCATAGTACGGAGTAGTTGCTAACAATTCACTATACCACAAAAGATTTCCACTCATTGCTTCTCGCCATCTAAATGACGAAAAATCAGAAAAATTACGCAACCTACAACTCAACACGGATTGAAAAATGTCAAGTGTCAAGAAATTCTCAACCCAAGTATTTTTGACATGAACATGAAACTGGCATGACAACTTATTTTCCACCACTAATATTCAGTAGAAACTGTAAGAACCTTAAATAAACAGTCAACTACAAGCCATTTCTTAATTTAGAAGTGCACATTTGCCACAAAATAGAAGTACTGTAAATTTTTGAAAACAAATTATTAGATAACAAATTTTCAAATATTGTGGTTCTATGCACAAACAGAGAAAAAATAAAGTTCATTTCTGAGACTTGATTAAATAACCATCTTAGACAGGCTATATATATGATCACAAAAACAAAATCTTACCTCCTCTTTCTCTCTGTTGTTGTTTTTATTGTTCTCACATGTAACCTTTCTCTTTTCATGGAAGGCCACTTTGTACTCATTTGCTTCCTCAATGATCTGGCTTAGTATTTCTTTCTCTTTTTTCTCCTTCTCTTCCAGTCGAATAGCGTTTTGCCTAAATAAACCAATTTAAATGATCACCAATTGACAATGAACCCATAAGGTGCTCATTTACCATTTCAGTTTCTCAAGAAGCTAGAAATCATATAGATATGTGTACATGGAACTTGTATTTTGAGAATTACATTGCCAAAACTCAAAACATTACACTCAATATATTAAAAGGGTTCAAAAAAGGGTTCAAAAGTGACATTTATAAAATAAGCAAGTTTCAATAAATCAATGCCTTTAACCTACAGCTGTTAGCACAACACTGCATGACTGCATGTAACAATAACATAGGGTCCGAAGCCAGTATGCATCCTGCCATTGCTGAGCTCTGAAGAGGTCTAGGGGCGTTGAGCCTACCAGCTTACATCAGTGGCCTCACTAATTATAGATTAATTAAAAATAAAACTAAGACAAATTTCATATACATCTGAAATTTGCAAGTTGTGCATTCCTTCTTCCCAATTCTATTAATCATCAGTTCCGCTCACTTCTGTCAGGATTTCATGCTAACATAATACCAAATATGGCTCACAATGCCTGTCTTAAAATAGATTGTCCTGGTTTACAATTACTTAAAAAAATCACAGTGAAGTGAAGCAAGTATAGCAACAATACAAACCCAAATCACACCCACCCCACTCCACTACATGGCTACTTTAATGATCCACATTTCCCAACTAAATACATACGAAGTATTAGTCTGTCTATTAGATCAACAAACTCAAACAACCTAGTATGTCCACTTGAAAAACATGCTCGATTCAAGACAATAAAAAGCATCCAGTCCTTAAATCAATCCATGGATTGTTGCTACATTCCCCAAATCCAAAGGCAAGTTATCACTCATTCCACAACCATTGTTGAATTACATTTCATAATTCAAACAAATTGCACAATTCTATGAACTAACACAGTCGAATTTAAGGAATTTCACAGAAAAAAGTACAAATTACAGTACTACTAATCAAATTACACTAACTGACTTCAGAAAGATTCAATTTTAGTTAAAATTTCAAGTTCAATTCAACTAAAACGTGAAAATTAACCTAAATTACAATCAATTAATCAGTTCAACACTTAGATCTCACAACAACACTCAAAATTCAACAAAATTAAGGAAAAAAAAAACTGAAAATTAATCATAATTGAAAGCAATAGAATTACACCAACCTCCGCCATTCACGAAGAGCAAACCCTTCCTCCTGCATTTCCGAAGGCGGCGGCAACACCGGACCATTCGCATCAACAAAAACTCCATCATCACCCGAATTACCATTAGATCCAAGAATATCATCGTTGCTATCATTGAAAACCACCGATTCATCAACCGATTCCTTGATTGACTCGGAATCGACGAAACTGGAGTAGCCATCAACAGCAACGTAGCCATCTTCGTCTTCGAAGGGGTGAGTCGGCCCGGATGGGTTTGAGTCGGGCCCGATTTCATCGAACGAGTCAGGGAAGGAAGACATTTCAGAGTACTGAGTTGAGTTGCTGAACTGGGTTCCTAACTCGGAGGGAAGTTGTCAGAGAATGTGGAATGGTTGCTGGTTGATTTTGGTTAGTGTTGATGAGAGAGTAAATGGGCCTTAAAGTGGATACTATGAGAGCAATTGATCTAAGCTGCACCCTTGTCTGGCTGCAACATCAGCCCACAAGCCTAATTTTAAACACGTCCGATTAAAAAAAGGTCCAAATCAAAATGAGTCCACCCAAATAACTAAACATATCTTTCAAAAGCAGTCCACGCAATTATCATTTATACAAAATCGTCTATTTATTTTTAAAAAATATAATTTAAAAATAAAATCGTCACTCTTAAACTAAAATTTCTGAAATTTATTATTCCTCTCTTTGATTTCCTCTCTCTTACAATCAAACACAATTCACTCTCTCTCCTCCAAAACAACCATGGGTATTTGAGATGAAAATTAAACGAATTCTCCCAAAACAGGTAATTTTATGTAAATTTCACTTAATTTTGTTTGAATTTATATGAATATCACTTAATTTTGTTTGAATATTGTTCGATACTCTGTTGTTCGAAATTTTTATTGGAATTGTTAAAAAATTTAGTGAAATTAAACGGATACCTTATGTTCATAAAATGTTTTGAAATGTTCATAATATTATTATTTGTTGTTCAGATGATAAATATTCTTAATGTTCTCATTTTGTCTGTTTAAGCTCGTGTTCATATTTTGAATGATTATGTTCACTTTCTAAAATGCATATGCTCATATTTTTTATGCTTATGTCCACTTTCGTTCTTAAATGCTTATGTTCATATTTTAAATCCTTCTGTAAACTTTCTGAAATGCATAAGCTCACTTTCTGAAATCTATATGTTTATAATTTTTAATGTGTATGTTCACCTTCTAAAATACTTAATTATGTTCATACGCATTCAAAATATGAACCAATGCATATGTTCATATTTTGAATGCGTATGTTCATTTTCTAAAATGCATATATTCATATTTTTAGTGCATATGTTCATATTTTTAATACTTATAATGCGTATGTTTCATAATCATTTTATTTTTTATTTCTTCAATTTTCTTATGTTCATAATTAAAGGCCGTAAATTCAATTTATATGAATTGCATGTTCACAAACCTAATCAAATTGATCAAAATTCATTACAAAATCACCACACAAAAAAAATCGAAATTCATACATAGATCTAATTGATAGAAATTAAACAAAATACGATTATAGAGGAAAGAGAAAATGAAGAATAAAAGAGGAAAAAACATAGGAGAATAATATTTTGATGAAAATTATGATCGAAATTTTGATGAAAATTTTGATTAAAATTATTATAGGAAAGAAAAGTGAAGAGAAAAGTACTACAATCAATTGTGTTCATCACCTATTACAAATTGGCAAATCACCCAAAAATTATATATGCAATATTAATCACAAATTCAGAAAATATAACCAATTAAACCAAATTACAAATCAATAACATAAAGTAACTTATATCAACAACGTCTTTAAGATTCCAATTAAATCCATCACAAATCAACGAAAATACAAAAAATGGAGGAGAGAGAAAATCTTAAAAGAAGACGATAATGTCAACCATAGTGGAGAGAGAAAATTTCAACCAAAATTAAGAATTAAGTAAAAAAGAGAAAAAAAGAGAAAAAATAATGTAAAATTAAGAAATAAGGAAAGAAATAAAATAGGAAGAAGATTGAAGGAAGGAGATGAAATAATATATACCGGTAGTACATAGTATATATGTGTGTTTGGTGTATAAAAGGGGGTATTTGATGAGTGGTGCAGCCAGCTTAAGGGTGCATCTAAGAATATGCCTTATGAGAGTTATAAATAGTAAGGTGTTTTTTTGGATTGGGCTCTTAGTACTAAATTTTCTAATAGGAACATTTTTCAATTTCAAATGTTCGAATTCTTCAAAATTGCATTGTTGATGTGTTTAATGAATTTCATTGATTTACAAATTTTACATGCGAATAATTAGAGATATCAATGAGGCAAGTTGGGATGTGTGACGGATGTTGGGTCTTTCCATCCTCGCCTAACATTGTTATACTCATCCCTAGATTAGTTATGATGGAATTGAAATTTGTCTATGTTCTTGCCTCTAACTACTTAACTAGTAGTTTAGTACTGTACATAATCTAAACTCTTATCACCGTATAACCCACCTAATACCCAATTAAGGGCCTGTTCTTTTGAGCTTCTGAGATTGTTGTTATCATCGCATTATTATCATTAATTATTATTGTTATTATTATTATCATTATTACTATTACTATTACTATTACTATTATTATTTGATATTTTTTACATTTTTTTTTTACCCTTTTTATAACATTAGAGAATGTGTTAAATAATATAAAATACTAGTTATTATCATTAAATATTAGTTATTATTATCAATTAATATTATATATTAATTATTATTATAATTATAAAATATTAATTATTATTATTAAATATTAATTATTATTATCTATAAATATTAGTTATTATTAAAAAATATTAATGATTTTTATTTTTATTTTTATTAAATTTTAATTATTATTATTATTTTTAAGCAGAGCAGAACAAATTTTAGCAGAGTAAAGCAGGACATAGCAGTACAGAGCAGAACAGAACAGTTCAAAAGAAAAGGGCCTAAGACCAACATAAAAAATAAAAAGAAAAGTACAAATGTGGCATAATAAAATAAATTTGGTACATAATAAATTACAAAAATGTGGCAACATCCTAATCAAACTAGGAGTGAGGTAATGCCATATAATCCTCTAAACTTAAAATTGCACTTCAACAACAAAAAGTAGGTATGAAGTTGGATGGATATAAATCATACAATTGAAGATTCACCTCCACCCTAACACCACAATTTTCTTCCCCATTCTCGACCCATACTAGAGCCATTTCCATCTCATTGTCGCTTTGTGGGACGACACAAGATGAGTTTCCTAATTAACCCACTTTACTAACATCCCTATGTATAACCAGATTATATTCGTTGTAATAACAATAGTAAATAAAAAAAAAAAAAATTACAATCAAAGTTTACTAACTTTGAAATTTTTTAAGCAAATGTGAAATTCATCAAAATAATTTAAGAATTACCAAAGGGCATAATACAATTTTACAATTATAAGTAAATTACTAAAGGTTCACTACAAAAATATCAAAATCATAAAGAAGTCATATTCTTCTTGAAATCCAGCCTATCAAAACCAAACCCAAAACAAAAAATCCCAAATTCCCCATTCTCTCTCCTCCCCACTCCCCTCAATGTCAAGCCTCTGGCAATCAGCTCTAAACCGGGTCCTCGGAACCGACACCGCCACCACCGGTTCAGACTACGACGGAATTGAATTCTGGACCGAACCAGAGCGAGCCGGGTGGTTAACCAAGCAAGGCGAGTACATCAAAACATGGCGTCGTCGTTGGTTCGTCTTAAAGCAAGGAAAACTCTTCTGGTTCAAAGAATCAATTGTCAACCGGTCTTCTAAACCGCGCGGTGTTATTCCGGTTTCCACCTGTTTAACCGTTAAAGGTGCTGAAGATGTGTTGAACCGGCAATTTGCTTTCGAGCTTTCGACTCGGTCTGATACCATGTATTTTATTGCTGATTCTGAGAAGGAGAAGGAAGATTGGATTAATTCGATTGGGCGGTCTATTGTTCAGCATTCTCGCTCTGTTACGGACCGGGAGATTGTTGATTATGATAATAGGTGATTTTTGGTTTGAATTTTTGATTCGATGGATGTTTGTGTTGTTGAATTGGGTTTTTTGTTTTGTTTTCTGGGTTGTATATGAATTTTTGTGCTGTTTAATGTGAAAGTGGTTTTGGTTTTTGATGGAAATTTTGATGTTTGTTTTGTGATTATGTTGAATTCTGAGGTGTTAATTATTACGGATGGTTTTGTAGGTCTACTTGTTGGATGAATATACGCAGATTAATTCTTGAGTTTACAGGTTTTAATTGTTTGTTTGAAATATAATTTGAGTTGAAATATTGCTGGAAAGTTAATTTATCAGATTATCTAATCTGGGGATCTGAAAGCTTTGATTTTTTTGCTGTTTATTGATTGGAATGTGATTCTTGTTCTTTCCTATCTTCTGAGCTGATGCAAAGAGTAACAGGAATTCTGAGCTGATGCTAAGATCATATACAGCAGTTAATTACTCGCACTACCATGATTTCTATGACCTGATATGTGTTGTTTCAACGTAGATGATACATACGCTGAAGAGTAAACAGTAAACATCAATTTTCCGAGACCATATTATACTTTGGTTGAAATGATTCTTTCGAACATGCAATGCTGCATATACTATTTGGTTTGACTAATATGATTTCTTAATCACCAAGTTTAATTTAACAATGGCCAAACACCTAAGAGCATATGAGCTATTTGGAATCCTGGAACAGAATAGGAAGCATGCATAAGGTCACAATCTTACAGTTGATATGGTAGATGAATCACTAAGTTAGTGGAGTAGTCCCTACCATAATGTTGAAAATTCTGTACGAATAATGTCAGGTTATGGTCACAAGCTCACAATATATGAACCTATAATTTTATACTGTTTAATGATGACATGTGGTTTGGAATTGCATGTTGAGGAATTCTCCAGACGCACTGCTACATCCATGCAAGTCTTGTGAACCCACTATATAGCCTGAGCAATTTATAACTACTGATGACCTTCACCAAATTTATCTATGGTAGTTTGATCCATGATCTGAGATGATTAATGATTTGGGGATGAATTGAGATGATTAATGATTTGGGGATTAAGAGACCGGCTTATCAATATTAAAAACTACAAATAGCTAGTCATAGCAAGAACGTCGTAAAATAAGTTATCTACGTGTATATCAAGTCCTTAGAAGAAACATTGAGGGGGAAAATAACATTAATGAATTTTTTACATGACGTTAGTCACCCAAGTGTTGCAGAGTAGAGGCCCATCCTAGGAGGGGGAGAATTTAGGAAAATATCTCTTAGAATGAGCAAGGTGAGATTCAACCTTTGACCTAAAAGTCAACCAAAAAGTCAAAGAGCTAGTTAAATGTTCTAGTCTCCTATCTCTTTTTAGTACGTAGTATCACTTGTATGCATCTAATTAACAAAATACCTAATGCTTTTGATCGAAAGCTTAAAGGCTTTCCTTATACGTTCATTGACATCTAGGATAATTTGGGTGCAACCAATCACTCATATTTTATTATCTCACTAATGAATTGAATATCAGCTCAACATGAGTGGTTTCATCTAATGTAATCCAACAAAGAAATTTGCTTCTCATGCATGCCTGCATAACATAGTTACAAAGATGTTGCAGAAGGCTTAAAAGCTCCCTTTGTAGCTATCCTATGCGAGTCAGGACTTTACATATTACATATTTACATACGCAAACGTTTGGAGCTCTTTAACGAATGACTTCTTGTTGAGGCTAAAAAAACCTCATGTCAAGATTAGTTGAACTATTCGCATTACCACGTTATTATAACGTTTCCCAGAGTTCTTATACATGTGATCTGCGATTATAAAGGAAAGATTTATTTGGTTAAAGGATACTGTTGGCTGTTGCCATCAAAATATAGAGCTTCAGGCTTAAGGATTTATATCAATTCAGAGAAACAGTGTCCAAAGATTACATAGCCTTATAGAAATGAGGGGCTTAAAAATTGAGTGCAACTTTGTTCTGTAACACAGATTACTATCACTAATTATCTTGTCAAAAGTGATAATATTTAGCCTTTTATAACTAAACTTCATGGTAAGAGCTTATAACACTCTGTATGCAGGTAAAGGTCAGATATGAAGAATGATGTTTGGAGGGAAAAATAATGCAGTGGGAACAAGTAAAATTCAGAGAGGCTTCCTACTGAATTGCTGATTACAGGCTGGTAGTGCACATCATGATTTCACAACCAGTAATTTGAAGGTTTCAACACAGAGAAACAGACAAAGTGACAGGATATTATCTACAGTATTATCCATCCCACAACTCTCTAAAGCAAGTATTCATTTGGATCCCATGGCTGATTCATAAATGACATAGCCTTCATGGCGTAAGATGGCATACATGACAAAGCATTAGCCTTGGTATGAGTATCCCTTCTAGGTTGGCAATGGTGCTGGCTTAGTGTTAGAATCCAACTCCTTTCTTATGTATTCTTCTTCCTTTTTACTTTTATTTTCTTTATGTATTGTCTTTAAAGCCTTTCTTTTAAGCTTTCTAAGTTCTAGGTAGAATTATTGTGTTACTGTATTTTCAGTGTTCACTAGTAATTCTCTATGTAATTAATATAAAGCTCTTTAGGGAGCGAATGGTTGAATGAATCAAAATTCCCTACCTGATTGCATATTGCTTTGTGCATTTGTGCTTGCCTTGTTTTAAAGCATCCCCTCCAAACCAAGAGAACCTCAAAAGACACCCTCATTGTCGTCGGTCCCGCTTGTGCCCGCTTTGAAATATCGGCCGTCACAAGCCCCGACTCCGCACTCGTTGTAGACATGTGCGTCCTTGAGATACACCTGGTCCTTGTTGTTGTGTGCTGACGTACCCTTTCCACTCTAGGCTTGCGTCCTTGTCGCCAAAAGACAAGAACGCGCCGCACAACCCGGTGTCAAAACACTCGGACCGTGACACTTAGCCACAAAAGAGAAATGCACTCACGGCCTCAATTAGTGTTTTTTATAACCAGATTTTGCATCAGCAAAATCATCCTGAATCGAAGTTGTCAAAAATCGCAATGTTGCGACTAACAACCTTAATTGATGTTTTTTCATAAAAGTTGCAATAAAATAGACTGCTGCCATCAGCTAACAAAGCAGACTCAGCTCAAAAGGCTTCGATAAGTCCTTATATATAACAAGCAGTGGAAATAACCACAATATCTTCCAGAAAAAAATAAGGTTTACATTGCCATAAAGAGCTAAAAGGTTTTGAAAAGTGTACAAAAAATTACATTGACAACTCAAGAACCATCCTGCTACCTAACAGGTGCGAAGAGGGGCAAGGAATACCTCAACACATTCTATTCAGAATCAACATATATTTCTCATCATCATTCCTCTTTCTCAGATGGATCCCCTTTGGGAACGATTGGTGCTTTTGGAGGGCCTCTTCCCTTGTTCTTGTTCTTAGGTCTCGCCTAATATTACACATCGAGCAATATGCGTGAGCACAAAAGCTAGTTCAATTCAACTAAGCAAGATAGCATTATAGTTCAAACTAAATCCAGGTCTTGTCCTAGTTCCTAAATTCATCAAGAATTCAAGATCACTCGCCAACACAAGAATAAGAGAGTAAAATTCAGTTTCATATAACTAGATTTCACAACTCAAGCCTTTAATTTGGTTTCACAAATTACTCACAAGTCCAAACAATAATTCCCTTAGAAAACACAAATCTATAACAAAAGAGTGAGCAACAACAAGTTACACTCATGTATCACTTTCTTCAAGTAATTGATTCAAAATTACCAAGGTAAGAATGCATAAATCAAAACAATCAAGACTTTGCCTTCATAAAATTTCTTCTGCATTGTCAATGTTGTACTTGTACCTAACTTCCAGTACTGTTTAACTTTGGGACACTAATTGTGCAATCAAGTAAACAACTCATTGAAACCGATAAATTTCAATAAGATACTCCATAAATGATAATCCCAGAAAATATAGTCAAATCGATGGTGTAATTTGAACTAGTAATGTGACAACTAAACACGGACCGAATTAATAGGTTTTGATACACTACTACAAACACAAGACCAATCAACAAAGAAAAAAAAGACAGAGAAAGAGCGAGAGATATAAACTGACATTTCCGAAAGAGTGGTTGAAGCGTTTGCCTTTGGCAGTCTTCTTGTCACCTCTGCCACAGTAAACTAACACAAAAATGGAGAAACAAATTAGTAATCGAACAGAACAATGGAGGAAAAAAGCGAATTAAGCTTAAATTTAAAGAAGAAACGAAAATTAGGGTTTCCAATGATGAATTTTGGGGTAAATTGAATGATTGATTAATTAGTTGAATGCGAAGTACTTACTGAGTGGCAGTGGTGGAGAAGTGGAGACGGAAGTAGAGAGAGAAACAGTGGAAGGAGAGGAGAGAGAAAATCCAGCGATGGAGTGAGAGTGAGAGAAGGAGAAAGAGATAGAGTGGGTCGCCATGGAAGTGGTTCCGAGCAGCAGTGAAGCCATTGGAGAGTTTCAAGATAAGAGAATTTGGATAGGATCTTTGCAAGAGGGTTACTCGTTAGTCGTTACAAACTCTTATATAGGGTGCTTACGTGCTTTATTAATTTTGATTTGTATCAAAATTTTAGGTGTGGTTTAGTTCACATTGGAATTAGAACTTTCCATGAATTGTTTGGTTAACAGGAAGTAACCTATTAAATTCCTATTATCTAATTCATGGGGATTTTCTAAAATTGTTTGGTTAACAATGAGGGAAGTAACATTCTATGGGAATTTCAACTTATCTAGGGGGGGTTAGGTAAGTAAGTTCCTATATTTTGTGGGAACTCAAAGTTTCTAGGAAGTTCAACTTCCCCCATTTCACCATATTTTTGTCAACCAAACACATAAAACTCTCAATTTCTAAGAAGTTTCACTTCCCATGTTTTTTTATGTCAAACAAACAAGCCATTAGTCTTATGTAAAAGTTCGCTCTAATTTATAGAACTCATTATTAGAAATTATTTTTATTAATTAAATTTGATTTTTCACTTACTCATTTAAATCTAATTTTATTTACTTGAGTTGATAATGTATTGATTTGATTTAGAGTTTGTTTGAAAGGAGTTGTTCAAGTCCTTTTGAATTTCTCTCTATTGATGAACTTTTTATACTATGAGTACAGTATTTATAACAAATATCTTAATTTTAACATGAAACCGGAAAAATTAGGTTGAGATGGAATGAGACTCAAAGTATAACATCAACTCGGATAAGTTTGTGTACATGTTATTATCGAGAGTATAGCATCTTAGAGGTTAATGCTTAGTGGAGTTGTGAAAATCGCCCAATTCCTACAATACACAAGCGAACCAAGGTCTCAAACAATAGATCAAGTTGATCACGAATTCACGATGGAAGAGTTGTTTGGTTATAAATTATAACATTAAAGAAAGTTGCAAAGAGAGAACATGTGAATGGTTTGAAACTCATTCCAAATATATTGAATTTTAAATCTTTATTGCTGTGAGATGACATTCCCAAGTACAAGGCCCGAGGGGATTGTTTGAAGGCACTATAACAAATATTCTGTGATACTATACTTACAAACTAATCAACGATGAACAACTTATAAAAGTCTGCCTGTGTTTCATAAAGTCGTCAAGGCTTCATTGGCGAATGGGAAGGGATAAGGCAAGCATACAAGAAGTCCAAGGACTAAAACTGCAATTCCAAGAGCAACATTCTTCTGGTCAGGTTCGCTGATTTCCTCAGAAAGGGGAGCAATCGGACCCCTCTGTAAGATATATATCAGAACTACCCAGTAGAATGCCACATCGTTGAACAATGAAGACAGTCCGAGAAGTACAATTGAGGCTCCAGTAAGCCGGACGGATGCCTGTCAAATGTCAAGTAAAGTCATCAGCAGATAATTTGAGATACCAAATTTGGCTTTCTGCGCATACCTGTATACTTCATAACTGTACCTTTCTTCCCCATATGGCAAAAGAAATACGCCCACCGTCAAGCTCTCCAGCCGGAATGCTGTTAATGGCATTAATTAGCAGCCCAGCCCATGCCCATAGGACAAGTGGATTGAGTGATATTGCTTGACCTTCCTTAAGGACATCCCCTAGAAGTAGTTTTGCTATTCACCAAAAAAAGTGATAATCATCAAGATCCTCATTCAACACTAGAATGCAACAAATGGATGCAAGAGAATTTTGCATACCAGTTCCCCCGACTAGCAATGATTCATGAAAAACAGCACCATCAACAACAATGCCAAGGCCATCACTTGGCGGTAGAATGAATCCCAAAAGGAACAGTATGAGACCCAAACTATATCCAGCCAGGGGTCCAGCCGCAGCAACCTTCAGAAGATCCTCACGTTTAGGTACAAGATTGACGATCCTTGTGATGGCACCAAAAGAGCCTATCTGTTGTCAGAGTAAATCCTCAGACATTTTGTGCAGCATTTCTAAAAAAAAGTTTAAGAACATCTCATTTTCATGCATAGGAATTTTTATATATGAGCTTCAGCAACAATAGATATCAACCATGATATTCTATTCAATACATAGCAGGATATCCAAAATCTCATTTTCAAGCATAGGAGCTGTAGGCTTGCATATTACAAAGGGTTCAGTGATGCGTGTGTTCGCCTCTTGACTGTAAAGGACATGTATGATTATTATTGGAGGATCCTTCTACAATTTGCCTCTTTGTTTCCCCCCTCCATATAATGTCTCCCTCATGCCTCTCCAACATGGTACAGAAAAACCATAGCCTTAGCATAAGGACATCTTCTTGTCTTTCTTTTTAACATCTTTTGTAATACTTCATCTCCTAAATATTGACATGCTCCCCACGTTTTGATTTTAGATTGTCCCATATTATTCTCTTCTTTGGTTCATTAATTTATTATCCAATCTGCTTTCGCTACTACTAATAAACTGTAATATTATTGGTTAGTTACAATTCATTAACTACACTCATGTTATTATTTTAAAGTCGACATGGCCATGGAGTAGTATTTTAGGGAACAAAAGGGGTACATCAACATTCCAAAATAGTTCGCTCACTTATTATGCCAAAATAGTTCGCTCACTTATTATGGAAAATACTTTTAGACGATAAGTTGGTGCTTGGTTATCATATATAAATGATTTGTTGTGATGATAGTGGAGTATATTTCATTAAATGAGAGGGCGTGGGACCTAACTTTTAGTGCTGGGAATAGAGAGACAACAAAGAAGTGGGTCGATTCCATTTTTAGATATAGGCAACAGATAAAAACGGAAAGTGAGGCATACTATTCTGGAACGGAAGACGTAAATAATTACATTGCCAAAGGATAGTGGAAAACAGAAGATTATACAATGCCGGTATACATTTTCACTAAAAGCTTTTCGTGCCTTGCCTTTCATTTATACTCTTCAGATTTCTTTAATGTCCTGATATCTTATATAAAAATTGTATAAATGAATGAGTGGACTCTAGCAGCAAAGACAATACTCCGTATGTATCTGATATAATTTTCAACAGGGGCAATATCATACCTGCCAACTGGGGATGAAATATGGCACACCAAGTTTCACTCCACAATCATTAGCAACAAAATAATGTCCAAGCTCATGTACCCCCAAAATAAGCGCGGTCACAAGTGCTCCAGGAAGGCCATTCTTCAGCAATTCAAGCTTATCAAAACTAGATCTGAGATAGCACATGGAAAACATAAGTCCTTAACATAGTAGTTTTGCAATTTGAATAAGTTACAATATTTTAGGTATGCTGCCACCACAAGTTGACTGATCAACGGCCTTTCAAGAACACAAGAAGATTTAAATTCTCAGAAAAGAAGAAAATGCAACCACCAAAGACAATCAAGTTTATTCAGATAAGATCTGAAGGGTTTGACAGAACATAATTTTTGTTCAAAGTCTCAGACATGAGACAAATATCATGTAACAAACCCTATGACAGATAAATTTAAAAGGGAAAAATCTGAAGTCTTTCCTAATTAAATAATGTCCAGAGTTTTGGGTGAAACGTGGAATGAGTGTAAAGACTGTAAATTAGAGATGAACGAGAGTTGAGAAAAAGGCATACAACAAGTTTGACTGCAGTTCAGGAACATTTCGAAGTAGTAAGGTAAAGAGAGTCACCAATCCAAAAGCCCCTGCTGCAAACCATTCTGGAACAGCTGCAGCAATTCGTGACAATAATCAAGGTTGGGAATGTTGCATTAGTCTGAAGAATAATAAGCAGCCATAACATCTAAGATGAGAGCCAGAAATCAAAAGAGATTAATTTACATGTTGTCTCTGGTTGCAATGTTATTCTTGGCACCACCACTGCCACAGGTTTATCATCTTCAGGATTGATAAGCATAAACAGCTTATATTGATCTCCCAATGTATCCTGCATGTGAAATAAAAGCCTTACAAGTTGCTCATCTTAGAATTAACAAGTGCAAACTGCAAAGACTAAAGACCAACGTACCTGCAACCTCTTTGATAGCTTTTCATAGCTTTTCGATGCTACCCCTCGTAAATTTCCTTTAAATAATACTCCACCCTAACAAAAAAAAAACACAATTTCATAGCAGTCATACTTACTTTATTCGGGTTTATAAATTATCTGTAAAGACTCCACATTTAAAAAGAGAGTATTCCTGTTTCTCAAGGAAAAAAAAAAAGAAAAAGAAAAAAGGGAGTATATATATTCAAGCTTTCATAAACTCAGAGACAGCAAGCAAGCCAACAGTTCAAAGCATCACCATTCTCAATATTAGAATTATGATCAAGAGACGGTCTCTTTAAATGTATACTAGTTAAGAGTCATAAGATCCCAAATCACCCATAAAAAGTTATCAGCAGGAAGCACAGAAGCATAAGACATGAACAGACTAGTTCTCTACACTAACTTAACTAATCAAGTACCACATTGAATATAGTTTAAATTTTCAGTCTTTTTAGTTTACCGAACACTTAAATTATTTGAGACAACTTTCATTAGTTTATTCTTGTTTGAGACTAAAGCTTGCTGGTTTCTGTAACCGTAGGAGGGTAGAAGGGACACGGAGAGAGGAGCATATGCAATAGAGTGACAACTAACAAGGCAACAGAAGCTGCGGTTATAATGACTAACCTCATATGGTTCTTGCCCCGTCACGAAAAAAGTGTCAAATCCAAACACTTGATCTCTAAGTATATCAACTATCTCCTTTGGAATCCTAATTGTTTCATCCAGCTGTTGCGGCTGTTCATAGCATCATAAAATTTACTCAGTAGAATGGTTAAAGATCAGAGCCAGGGCAATATTACAATAATAGAAAGAAAAAAATTAACAGAGCTGAAACACTAGCCTATCAGATACAACCATAATCACCTTCACACCTGGAAGAGGTGAACCACTGGCAACTTGTAAATTATCAGGATCATCCTGCTAATATTCAACAAGAAGAAATTATTGTCAGAAAATTACGAGGAAGAATGGAAATCAGCCAATACATTATGCCGCCAACTCCAGTAAATTTTAAACAGCAGAACATCTAAACTCTAAAGTTGGTAAGGGAAAATAACCAGAAAGCCTCCTTATAAATGAAGATCTTTCCCATAACCCTACTTCAACAAATTTAGTATAAAAACATTATTAGGTACGGAACAAAATTTTATCAGAAGAAACCAACTAGAAGTTGCTAATTTGAAACAAATTACGTGGTTTTTATTCTACAGACAAAAAAGAAACTTTGAGTACAAATATAAAATTATCTTTTATCAGATGGAAAATGGACAAGTGAGTATGACACTTTGACCAGAGAATTAAATCAAAGTTGTTAGTTTGACATTTATACAGCTATAAATTAAGGATGAGTCTCCTTTACAACGATAATTCTTTAAAAGTGTGCCTCTCTCCACAACAACAATCAAAGCCTTAATCCCAAAGATGGGGTAGAGTTTCCTTAAATGATGGAAGGAAGGTTATAAGCAGGACATAATAAAGCATATGCTAGCTTCCAACACAAAACTCTGCATAATAATAAACACTCCAGCAAGAAAACATAACAAATTTTTGTTTACTTTTTGAAAGTTCACCAATAAAGTAAATTGCAATTATATGAGCAGTCTCAAAAGTAGAAAACTAATATAGACATTGAAAAAATAAAATTATATGTCAACATATCTATCAAATAACAACATACTTGCGTACCACCTTCACCATTGACTTTGATCTCACTGTTTTGATTGTTTTGTATAAAGTTGTTGAGTGAATTTAGAGCCTCAGTGGTGGATACCTGCTCCTTCTACAAATATATAAGATCCAGACAACTATGTCAAAATGAGTGAGATAAGATGAAGTATAACAAAACTACATGATAACTAATAGAACAAATTTAAAAATTACCTTCTCAAACTGTGAATCATTCTCTGTGCTGGAATCAGCCGACCCCACACTTTCATTTCCTTCATGGTTATCCTTTCCCTAGAAATTGTTATATTTAACAAGAGACTAAAGCATTAAGATCCAAAATTTTAACATCAATGCTATGCTCATTAATAAAAAAGGATGTAATGTAGGATCTGACTGTGAACTTCAGCGTCAAACTATAAAAATCCGTCCATATCAGTTAACCAAACACCAAGTGTTATACATACATTGATATGCCAATACAAGTTGCTCTTTCTTATTTCAGCTGAATGCAGACTAAGTTGTATGATATATGCATGTTAAATCTTGCTCGCACTGATTCCCGCTGCTGAATCCATACGTCTATAAAGCACCAACATAATATATAACAATGTTGATGAATTAACAGTTCTAGCATTGTACTAATGGCTGTAAACCAAACTCCTTATGCTCTATCTTAAGAGTAAGCATTCGTTTTCACTCACCTCCCACCTTGAGCCCCACTACATGACCATAAAATTAAAGAAACATACAAAGAATTTGCCAAATTTTATTATCAAACCAACAAACTTAGTGTCATTCTCTCAGTTCCGAATAATTTAACAACATACATTCACTTGGCTTCAGTGTAATTCTTATTTATCCTAAACAAGCAACAAAATGGTTAGATAGGATAAAAATATTGACATAGTTACCTCATTTCTTAATTTAAAGAATGGTTCATTAGTCTAGTGATAAAGAGACCAAGAAACAAGCTAATCAAGATCAACATAGTCTAAACTTAATACAAACTCAGCTCAATTTTAGTCAGGCAAAACAAACTTAGTTGAGCTAAACAATATACTGAATAACCAAAGTTAAAGGTTCCCTTAATTTTCTCTCCCCTTATTAATCTACTCCCATGAATCCACTGCAAGCAATTCACGATTCAAAGTAAACCTTTCACATTAAGCTCAATTCAAATCCTTAACTAGCCAAGTAGCCAACATGAGATGATATCAACCTAAACTCAAACTAGAATTAGCTCATAATCACTCCATATATTGTCACAAAAAGTACATGCAAACACATTCAAATGACAATATTACAAGCTCGTTCTCACTCCTAAATTGGCACAAAACATTGAAATAACAATGAAATCAGAAAACAAAAAAAAATTAAAAAAAAAAAACACACACACAAGTACACAACTAAACAAAGTTCAAGCTTCTGAATCGAAGAAAACATACCTTAGTATCATTGGTATCAGGTTCAATATCATCTTCACCAACTCTACAAACGAAATCAATTTTTCTTTGAATCCCTAACCTAATACCAGAAATTCAACAATCAATCAAAAATCACAATATACATAAGATCATAACAATTAACTGCAATTCTAATCAAAATATAAACGAAAAAAAAGGAAGCGATACCTAGAAACAGCAACAAAACGCAATTGACGACTGCGAAATTTACGAGGAAAATCCATAGAAGAAGAAGCAACAATCAAAGGCTGAAAACGAAGAACAGAGCAATAAGTGCACTGCGAGAGTGATGATAAATTGCAACGCAAATCTGTTGGAATTCCCATGCTTAGCTTCAATGGCGACGAATTTGAACTTCAATTTGATGCGAAATTCAGCATCATTTGGCAGCAAAAATCTGTAGTGGACGATGAAAATGGAGTTTTTTTTGGTTTTGGACGTGTGTAAGAACTTGAAATTGCGAACAGTGTGGGGAATCTTATCTCTGAAATATCGGAAACTCGAAATTGGTTCGATTGATGCGGCCCGCTTATTCAGATGTGTTCGTCTCGTAGCCAATGGGCTGCGCGTGTCATGGTCCACTGCTTCTCGGGCTTAGCAATTACGAGGTTACGGAGCATATTGCAACAAGGATAAAATTACACATCTAAAAACACATTTTAATTCACTTTTCTATGGTTACATATTCTATTTTATAAATGAATAAAGTGAACAAAATAGGGCTTTCTTGTCACCTAAAATACAATTTTATAGTGATTGGGACCGTCTCTATTATTTTGCATCATTTGACATTTCATAATTTTAGAAGATGCATCTTAAAACATATGTATCTCCATTTCCATACGCGTAAAATTTATAAAATTTTAATATGGAGCATTAAAAATGTATACAAAAAACATCCAACATCATCACACATGATTATTATATTACTTTATATCTCTTATATATTAACGATAATTAATGGTTCCCGTAAAAAAAAATGATAATTAATGGTTAAAATTAGACCCATATATTAACAATAGAAATAATAATATGTACTCCATACTTTTGAAGTATGTGATTGATCCAATTCCCATTGAATACATAATCCATTACGACTAATATAGACTATTAACAATATCAATATACCATGGATAACTCAATTATTTATCATAGAACTAAACAGTCACTCCACTTTTGTCATATCTTAAACATTAAGCCGTTTGCTTGGGGGTATTCAATAAAGGGAATGGGAATCGACGGGAATCATTCCCTTTATTGTTGTTTGTTAAGCCACTTTCCAATTCCCTTTACCCCCTTCATTCCCCCAAATCCCTCCAAGTTCATTCCCCACCCACCCCCCAAGGTATTTCCATTCCATTCCATTCCATTCCTTGGCCACCACCCTCCTACCTACCCACATCACCGGAACCACCATCACCATCGTCACTTTCGTCACCGTCGTCGCCGCCCTCCCCTCCCCCAAACCACCATCACCGAAACCTCATTCCCCTCCCCTCAAACCACCAACGACACATCACCGAAAACAGCTCCCCTCCCCAAACCCCCTGGCTACCTTCGTCACCGTCGTCGTCGCCCTCCCCTCCCCCAAACCACTATCACTGAAACCTCATTCCCCTCCCCTCAAACCACCAACGAATCTGAACGTTGGAGCAATGGGATTGATACGTCATCGGAGTTAGGGTTTTTTACGTGGTGGGTAGGAGTCGAAGAAGGGAGAGGGAGCGGCAAGGAGGTCGGGGTTGGTGTCGCCAGCGTAGGGGAGGGGCTGGGGTGCTGGCGGGGGTCGCCGGAGGCCCGGGAGTGGGGAAAATTTTAATGAAAGAGATCAACAGTGGTGGTGGTGAATCTAGTGATTCCCATTGTTTTTGTACAACCAAACAACATACTACATTTAAGGGATTTTCATTCCATTCCATTTCATTCCCTTTGTTCATTCCATTCCGTTTACCTCGTGCAAACCAAACGACAAGTATTGGACTCAATCAATCCATATCTTTAACATTAAGTATAGATTTCACTACTTTAAAATTTAAATTAACCCTTTTGTCATGTTGACCATTCACTTAGCCTAGTGTAGTGGAAGTGAATACTTTGAATAATAAAATCATTCTGGTAGAAGCGTGAGATTGAGACAATAAGCGACTCCAATTCTTTCCCGCCCACTTTCTCCTTCTCAAACTCTTCAACCTCAACACCAGGTTAACCTACGTATAAACCCTTCTTTTCATATTATATATTTTATGTATTTTCGTCATTCTTTGTTAATTAATATGTTTTTCTTTATTATTATGATGATGAATTAGGAATGGGGAAGGTCACATTTTCTACAGGCATCAATGATCGAAGCACTCAAACTGTGCGCCGCCGTCGACCCCATAATTTCCAATATAGGCCCGTGTCATCGCCATCGCCATCGTCATACACTTTTGATCCTAAGATCTTCGGTAATACTGTTAAACTTCAATAAAACAATTCGGAGAAAACAGCTTAATGAGCCTTTACTATTAAACACATATATATAGGCTTACAACATTAACCTAACATGCCAAAAACTCCTAACAAGATATATACAAATATATTCACAAAATATATCTCATAGCATAATTATATCCTAACACTCCCCCTCAAGTCGGAGCATGTAAATCACGAATGCCCAACTTGTTAAGAAGAAAACCAAACTGTCGTTTCCTAAGTGCCTTCGTCAAAATATCTGCTGACTGATGAACGGTAGGAACATACGCAGTAGCTAGATTACCATTCACCAACTCATCACGAACAAAGTGACAATCTGCCTCTATATGCTTAGTACGATCATGAAAAACAGGATTTTTAGCAATATGGAGAGCAGATTGACTGTCACAATACAACTTCATAGGCTTAGGATGCAAAATACCAAGAGAGGACAACAAAGATTTCAACCACTTTAATTCACAAGTTGTAACTGCCATAGCACAATACTCAGCTTCAACAGAAGAACGAGATACTGTCGGTTGTTTCTTAGTCTTCCACGAGACAGGGGAACGACCAAGAAAAACCATATAACCAGACAAAGAACGACGAGTCAAAGGACACGCTGCCCAATCACTGTCACAGAAAGTCGTCAAACACATGTCCTTCATAGGACGTAACAATATACCCTGACCAGGACTACCTTTGATATAGCGAAGTACCCTGATTGCTGCATCCCAATGTTGCACCTGCGGGTTACTCAAAAACTGTGCAAGAGTATGAACAGAGTAACTCAACTCTGGACGAGTTACAGATAAATAAACAAGTCGCCCAACTAAGCGACGATACTGATCAGGTTGAGAGAATGGCTCCCCTTCGACATATGCCAAACGATGGTTCTGCTCCATAAGTGTATCAATAGGCTTACAACCTAACATACCTGCCTCAGATAATACATCTAAAGCGTATTTACGCTGAGATAAAAATATACCTTCCGGGCCACGAGCAACTTCAATGCCCAAAAAATACTTCAACACACCAAGATCTTTCATATGAAAGCATGTACTCAAATACGATTTAAAACGAATAATCGCATCATGAGAGGAACCCGAAATAATAAGATCATCAACATAGACAAGTACATGCAGAGAGACTGATCCCTGAATATAACTGAATAATGAATAATCTGCATACGATTGCTTGAAACCATACAATTTCAAGGCATTAGACAATTTAGAAAACCACTGTCGAGGAGCTTGTTTCAGACCATATAGAGACTTACGCAACCTACAAACCTTCCCTGGAGTAGGACAGTTATAACCTGGAGGTAACTGCATATACACCTCCTCCTCCAAATCACCATGAAGAAAAGCATTATGAACATCCATTTGATGCAACTCCCAATTTAAAGAAGCAGCAACAGAAAGAAAGAGTCTAACAGTCCCCATTTTTGCCACAGGGGCAAAAGTCTTGTGGTAATCAACAACTGCAACCTGTCGATTGCCATACACAACAAGACGACCTTTAAGTCGCTCTACTTCACCTGTAGATGTATATTTAATTTTATACACCCAACCACTACCAATAGCCTTCTTACCTGGAGGTAAGTCCTCCAATGTCCACGTGCCATTTCGTTCAAGAGTATCAATTTCTTCTTTCATCGCCTTACGCCACCCTACATGTTTCACAGCTTCACTAAACGAGGAAGGTTCTCTACCCTTTGAAACTGATGTCAGAAAACACTTGTGTCTCACAGAAAAATTGTTATAATCAACATAACAAGCTATATCAAATTGTTTACCTGAAGAGCTTTGAGAGACGGGAGCAGTAGTTGTTGATGGAGTGGGGTCTATTGCCTGTCGAACAACCGTATTAGTCACATAACCACAGAGCTTCGAGGATGGAATTTTTGTACGATGACCACTACCCAAAACCTCAACATTGTTAGGAGTATTACCCCCTGCCACGTCATTGTGAGCACTCGTTCTACCCCTCAACTCAAGAGAGGCAGTAGCAACACCATTTCCAATTGAATCATTATCAAGCACATGCATATTGTTAACATCACCATGCAAAGAATCACTATTACCATGCATATTATTAACCTCCACAGTAGCATGCATATCTTGCAAAGAGGCCACATCAGAAGCACTAACAGTCTCACGAACAGGTGTAGGCACATGCAAATCATTATCAAAGTCTTCATCATCCCACAATCTAACTTGATTAAAATAATTTTCCCATTGCACTTTCTCCGACTCATCAAATATATCAATAAAAGGAAAAGTATCTTCAACAAATTGCACATCTCGGCTTATTAAAAACTCATTAGTCTCTAAATCATAAAACCTCCATCCTTTTTTTCCATATGGATAACCAACAAAAATACACCGTCGAGACTTTGAGTCAAATTTGTCCTTAGCACGCGAATTATTCACAACATAACTCAAACAACCAAAAACACGCACTTCATCATAAGAAGGAGGTTTACCAAATAAACATTCATGAGGGGATTTTCCTTGTAAGATGGGAGTCGGAGTCAAATTGATAAGATGAACCGCAGCTAAAACACATTCCCCCCAAAAATACTTAGGTAATTTAGCTTGAAAACGTAAAGCTCGTGCAACATTTAAGATGTGCTTATGTTTTCTCTCAACACGACCATTTTGTTGTGCAGTATCAACACACGATGTTTGATGCAATATTCCTTTTTTACCGAAAAAGGACCTTAAACTCAAGAACTCTTGCCCATTATCACTTCTCAAAATTTTAATCTTTTTATTAAATTGAGTTTTAATCAAAGAATAAAAATTACGAACCAAAGTTCCCACTTCATGTTTTCCAATCATCAAATATACCCATGTTGCACGAGAATAATCATCCACAATAGTAAGAAGATATCTAGCATTACAACTAGACGATACTCTATTCGGACCCCAAATATCACAATGTATCAAATCAAACAAACCAGATGCTTTATTCATACTCAAAGGAAAAGAGTTTCGGGGTTGTTTACCCATAAAACAAATATGACAATCAAACACACCACACTTTTTAT